GCGCTTTTGATGCATGGTGGAGCTGCCAGGGCCCGTCCTCTAGTGTCGGCAGGCTCTGAGGACAAAGGGAGACGTATAAACGGTACAGCCATTGATAGGCTGGCGACGGTGTTTCATCTTGTCCCTGGCATGTGCCCAAGCGCGGACAAGAGTTGGCTGCAGGTCAAGGTGGGGTCCGGAGTCTGATCGAGCGGAGAGCCAGTCCACTGGCTGTGGCTCGTCCCTGCCTAAAACGGCCCTGTTTCCCCTCTGGCGCCGCGGCAGCCATCCAGCACCGGCCAGCAGGACAGGGGATGGGCGATAGTGGAACACGTTAGGTCCCGTTTGGTGGTGTTCCCCTTTGCCGCCTCCTGGATTGAGTCTGCTGCCACTGGGCGCTGCAAGTAAGCAGCACAGGCGCTGTAACGCACCCCTATCCCAGGCCACACCTCTAGACCTGCCCAAACCAGCAAACCTCAGCGCTCCCTCCCCTCAGCTGCTAACCTGGTGTTGGGCGGCTTTTTCTTCTTTTTTCTTCTTCGCCGTTGGTCTCCAGCTTCGAGCCGCGCGCCAGACGGCACCCGATGGCTCTGCATTGCATACGGCGGTCAGCTGCATCATTCCATTCCGTCTGCGCAAGTGACCTCATGGTCCTCGTGTTCGGGGGTTGGACAAGAAAAAAAGCAGTTTAGCTTAAAATTACCATGGCTGAGCATACCTCATGCTGGAGTCCCGTACTACCGTCATGGCATTCTCCGGTAGTACGCACAGGAGGCTGGGGCGAGGCACATGCGAAAGCACTGCGTCAGTGCACCCAACGACAAGGATCATTGGAATCGTTGGAGGGGCCTGCCGGAGAAATTCTAACTGATTATGTTAGGCGGCAGCGTCCACCACCAGCTCGAGGAGGGGTCTTGGGCAGTCAGCCAGCCTGACAGGGATGGGGATAGGGGCCTCCGGTAGTTAAGGTCGCTGGGTGTTACAGAAAAGACACGACTCTACGCAAATGGAATGAGAGGCGAGCCGTGATGCGCCTTCCTTGCTCGGTGTCCCCCGGGAGATTCCCCAAATCAATCGGGCCGCGTACAGCCTCTACCTTGGCTCCATAATTCATCAGACCTCTGCAATGCATGTTGGCTTGCTTCATGCTGTGGTCAATGTTGCGGACGGGAGGTAGGACACTTCCTGCACGCAGCCGTTCACCGCAACACAACCCTCAGCCACGGGCCCCATTCCCGCTTGGATGGGCGCAATTGACAGGACAGTGTGTGTCTGTCCGACAACGCTACTGGTGAGTTTGGCGCCCACGCGTGCTCCTGAGTTGTCCGTACCTGCAGATCGCTAGCCATGCCGTCCTCGGTGTGGCTGCAGATCACATCACCTCGCAAAGCACGAAACGATCCCTGGATACGACCCAAGTGCCAGGCTTCAGCACAGGCCATCGAGGTCGCCGACCCCAGGGGCCTCCCAACCGGCCAAAGCGCATTTCAACCACTGCCACTATGCATGATCTGGTAGCAGAGCTTTGGCTTGTTTTGTCAGGTCAATGTCTGTGCCGTTTAATCTAGATGGCCACGCCTCGCCAATTCCGGCAAGCTGCCGAACAGCAATATGTGCCACCGCTGGGTTGGCATAATGAAGCTAGCATCACCTGAATGGCAAACGGCATGAACAGAGAGGTGCGATTATTACGACAGCCGACAACTCACGAGAGAAGGGAGCAAATTTTCGCTGCTTCATGTGGTTGACTCACACGCATTAGACGTTGGGTCCCAGTCGTGGCTTTCCGAACGGACCAATCGTCTCTGTATGCACGACACCTTTAGCCGGGTGTCTGTGGGTGGCAGAGCGGCTCGTCCGCCAGTCAGATGTGGGAAACTGGTTCAGGCTCCCGGCAGCTTTCTGAGAATCTTGCATTCATGTCTTGTGATTCGGGTGAGGATCCCCCTGAAGCGCCGCCTAGGCATGCAGGGGAAGTTCAGATGGTTAGCCAGTCACGATGGACTGAGCAAAGATGACCAGTGATCGCGCTCCTCACTATCATCCCGTAGTCTCTCACAGCCGACCAGTGAGGGGCTTCAGCTTCGTGGTCCAGAGGGCAACAGGCAGGGATCGGTTTGCCAAGAGCCGAAGACCACCTTGTTGGTTTTGTGGGGTGCGCGTGGAGCCGAAACATCAAACAAGACCAGGGTTTCAAAATTCCTGTTTCGGTATTTTCCCTATGTTCGTTATCCCATCTACATCTGACGCGGGTGATGCTCAGGAGGACCTTCCACATGTGATATCAGCCTAGGTGCCTTTCCGGAAGTCGCCGGCAGTTTTTGCCTGCCTTCAAGAGATGCTGTCTCGACTCCTGGTCAGTGAACAGACCCTGCCTCATCATGCCCGATGCAATCCTTTCTCGGCAGAACAATATGGGCTCTGTTCTTTTCTTCTTCATTTAATTACATGACTTGATATCCCTGTAGCTCGTTGTCAATCTGCACCGGGAGGCATTTATTTTACAATTTGACGTGGCGTTGGCAGAAGAGACCAGGAACATGGTGGTAAATATTTTCTTCAGGGCTTCCCACAATCTTGTGTAGGTGCCGCTTCATCTCCGAGATGTGCCATCATCCCATGTTGGTTCCCATGTTGGTTCGTCGCCATGGCCTCTGACAACCTTGTAAGTTGAGTTTGGGACGCTCATTGCCTCTATCTGGAAACGTCACCTCTGCTGATGTGTGCACGGTGCGCCATGTTTCCAGTTGGACAGCGGGATATATTGCCGCGGGCGGCCGCGATCTGCTGTGACGCTTTTGCCGTCTCGAATCACCCGTGTGGAAAAGACTATGGCCTGTGCTGTTCATCTGTTTCATATTTCTCACCATCAGTCCATTCACGGATGGTGGAAAATCGGGCCCTGCCCTGGACTGAAATACCCTGTCTGACAATTCATCCGATCAGGTTGATGTGCATGCTTGCTTTTTTTACCTTTCTTGCGGGATAATATCTGTAACATGATCTGCTGCGGATTAAGTCTGACCATGCACCGCAGCGGGCTGTTTCCTTGGCTGGTGGGAGTTGTTCAATGTGAGATGCAGAGCTAGCGTGATATGAGCTGGCTAATGGCTGTCTATGCGTGCAACTTGTAAGATTTTCATTGAATAGTCGCAATTCCCATGTCAATATATCCATTTCTATAATCTATGTGACTCGATACCAGATACTCTTTATACAAGTCCTAGCTCTGAAAGAGTTTCACCCCGCTCCTCCTCGTCACGTCGTTGTCCAGTTGGGTTGTATGATACCCCCCGTCACTCCGCTCTAAACCAAATCCCACGTCGCAAACAGCATGGATTGTCTCGAAATCTCACGGGCAGGGGAAGCTGGAACCTTCCTCTCCCGCCACCAGACATGCTTGCCCAGCCTCAGACTCTAGAGAGGCGAGTTAGGACTAGTGATGATGGCTTGGCACAAGAGGGATCCAACCTGAGAAACTCATTCACCGTGCCCACATGTCCATCTTCTCCTTCCGAAAATGTTCAAAGTCCCATTCGACCTTCTCAAGGTCCTCTGCTGACAGGAAGACGTAGACGACGGCGTCCTTCTCTTCTCCCTCGACCTCCTTTCCCCCCTCGTTCTTGAGAAGCTTCACCTTGACATTCACCTTCTTGTATTCCGAGCCTTCAAAATAATCGAGCTTGTGCATGTTGGCATCCGTCAGGCCTGTTGCATACACACCACGAACCGAACATCCGTCCTCTGGTATGATTCCAGGGTAGTCGGCATACTGGACTCGATGTCTGCAATATCCATCCAGAGTAGCTGGGGTGAACGTGTGCATGGCTTGATAAGCTTGCGGCGGTTTCGACGTTCCATAACATACGGTAAAGAACACCTCGGGCGCCATCTAATTCACTAAGTCTTAGTTTTAAGATTCTCAATGGCGATAAAAAGGGGTTTGTATCGTACCAAGGTGCCTGTTACAAGATTAGTTGACAACCACATCCCCATCAGAGCGCAGGTTGACCTACCATAAAAAAAAGCTGTGAACTCCCCACTCATCTTCTTGAATTTCCAGAAATAGGCCGGGGCTACTCGAAGATAATGAACCTTGCAGCTAAATGTTGTTGTGTCAGTTGAACGTGAACGACTTCGAGGCGAGCAAACAGGCAAGCTGTATCACATCGGCTAGGCTCAACAACATACCAGATACTCTACCGTAAGGTCTAGATTGTGCTAGAGTTATCGATGGTAGGGTCCCGGAGACCAAACTTATTCTCAATCTTGAAAACCAAGCTTATCATTCGATGGCGAACAAGCACTCATTCGTATGCGATATCTTGGAATTTGTTAACAGGTAGGTAGGCAGCAAGAAGTGGTGCCTGGTATGAGTAATCAAAATTCGATAAAAAAGACTTTAGTGTTTAGGCAGTAATAGAGTTCAGGTACGCAGCTAGCTCTTTCTTATCTATTGTTTCTCCGTGTGATGGGGAAGTCAATGATGGTTGCGATAGACGCTACGTCAAGGCACCAGGAAGCCACAGCCGTGAGGGACAGCTCCTTATCGATAACAGCCCACCAGTTAAGCCTCACTACAACCACGCCCAATCGACAGGGTGTGTGCAGCACTAGCGCCGGATTAACATTGTTACAGCGCCTAGCGCAATATGATTTGGTGACCGCGGCGCCCAGTCTCACTGGGTCTTGGGATTTTCAACGCGAGGCGACCTCTAATTCCATCTTCATATTGCAACCGTTAGGTTCTTCCCCAGGCGAGCGACTCTCGACAATAACGCCCATTCCTCCATTTGGCATCCTGTCGCAACCAAAGAAGGAACCTCAATTCTGACTTTCTTCAGAATACTGATATATACAGAGTATAGAATTTCGCAAGTTCCCGGGCCGTCACTGTCGCGAAGCTGTCGCGAGGACACCAAGCTCTCTCTACGCTCCTCGATTATTGAACCTTCACCACAGGATCGTCTCCCAGCGGATGGAACGACCTACGGCGCCTTGTGGACGCCGATGATGCAGTCATGTCGGGAACCACTATTGATGACGTCGTAAAGCGTCTCAGTATTCCTGAGACGGGTACTGTTCAATTCCTCTATACCACGTGCCTTCATCATTGAACAGACCAGTATTTGCTAACTTTCCATGCCTTCTAGATACGAAATTGAAATTCGAAGCTGCGACGACTTTACGCGATAGCTTGGATCACTACACCACTGGTCCGATATACTCCCCGTTCTTGAAGAGATTGATGCCCATTTTCATCAATATCTTGCGCGGACAATGTATTTTCCAAAGCAATAACATGGAGCAGGTTCGTTCTGTTCTCCCCCAAATCATCAATTGTTACAAGTCTAACGAATTATGCACAGAGGCTCCGCCACTGCATTTTAGAGGTCCTGCATCGTCTTCCCACCAGCCCTTCGCCGACCGAGCCCTTCGAGCCTTTCGCCCCCGAGATTGTCGACTTATTGATGGGTCTTGTTCGGAACGATAACGAGGAAAATGCTACCCTTTGCGTTAAGATTATCTCGGACATCATGCGCCACCAGCACAAGGTGCTGCAGGGCAAGGTTCAGGACTTCTTGACATTAATTCAAGAGCTGTTTGAACAGATGGAGAGCGTCGTCAGAGAACAGCTGGATAACCCAACAGGCCCCGGAAATTCGCAGCCTGTAAATTCACAGCTCGCTGCAGCCGCAGCTCCGTCGACGCCAGGAAGCACCCAGACCAATTTCCAGTCTCCTCGACCGGGATCGCCTGTAGCCGCCGTTCCTGATCTTGGACCGGATCCTCAGCAGCAGAATCGATCGCTTTTGAAGGGCATGCGGTCCTTCAAGGTCCTGTCCGAATGCCCCATCATCGTTGTTTCGATTTTCCAGATCTACCGCAACACTGTACAACAGAACGTCAAGGCGTTTGTTCCATTAATCAAAAATGTGCTTTCGGTACAGGCCAGTGCTCAGCAGCAAGCACACACGGATGCTGCCGCCAAGGGCCAAATTCATACTGGTGTCAGTTCGGGCATTAAAAATAGGGCTGCTTTCGGTGACATGATCACGGCGCAAGTCAAGACCATGAGTTTCCTGGCCTATCTGCTTAGACAGTATGCAAACCAGCTCTCGGACTTCCTCCCTAATTTACCCGGAATAGTGGTCAGGCTGCTCAAGGACTGCCCGCGAGAGAAGTCTGGTACCCGGAAGGAGTTGCTGGTTGCTATCCGGCATATCATCAACTATAACTTCAGGACCATTTTCCTTCCAAAGATCGATGAGCTTTTGGATGAGCGAACATTGACGGGCGACGGTCTGACTGTTTATGAAACCATGCGACCTTTGGCGTATAGCATGCTGGCTGATCTCATTCATCATGTGCGGGATTCCTTGAGCCCTGAGCAAATCCGCAAGACTGTTGAAGTCTACACCAAGAATCTCCAGGATAATTTCCCCGGAACGAGCTTTCAAACGATGAGCGCCAAGCTTCTGCTCAACATGGCTGAATGCATTGCAAAGCTACCCAACAAGAACGATGCTCGACACTACTTGATCATGATCCTTAATGCTATTGGAGACAAGTTTGCCGCCATGAATCGCCAATATAATAATGCGAAGAAGCTTTCGAAAATATACCACCAACAATTGGAGGGTGGCCAACCGGATCCACAAGCTGAGAAGGATAAGGCCCCTGAATGGGATGAGATCGATATCTTCTCAGCTATGCCGATCAAGACATCGAATCCCCGAGACAGGGCTAATGACCCAGTGGCAGACAACAAATTCCTGTTCCGAAACCTTATGAATGGCTTGAAGAACACATTTTACCAGCTGAGAACCTGCAATGTCGATCTTAAGCTTGATATTGCTACGGTTCCGACCCACTGGCAGGATGTTTCCTATGGCTTCAACGCAGAGGAGGTCGAGGTGATCGTCAAGCTTTTCCGTGAGGGTGCCTATGTCTTCCGCTACTATGAGATCGAGAAGCCAACAGCCGAGCCTCAGTATTCCTCCCCTGTGGAGTACATGGCAAACTTCTATATGATCTCCAGTAGTAAGGAAGAGAAGGAGCTTCTTGAGACTTTTGCCACCGTCTTCCACTGCATCGACCCTGCCACATTTCACGAGGCTTTTCAACGAGAGATTCCAAGGCTCTATGACATGATTTTCGAGCATACCGCCCTTCTGCATATTCCTCAGTTCTTTCTTGCTAGCGAAGCGACCTCACCAAGTTTTTGCGGAATGCTTCTCCAATTCTTGATGGAACGCATCGACCAAGTTGGCTCAGCTGATGTGAGGAAATCGTCAATTCTGCTGCGTCTCTTCAAGCTCGCATTCATGGCGGTTACGCTATTTGCTCCACAGAACGAGCAGGTACTCCTCCCACACGTCGTCAACATTGTGACCAAGTCAATTGAGCTTTCAACAAAGGCTGAGGAGCCAATCAACTACTTCCTGTTGCTGAGATCCCTCTTCCGTAGCATTGGCGGAGGCAAGTTTGAGCAACTTTACAAGCAGATTCTGCCTCTCCTCGAAATGCTTCTTGATGTTCTCAACAACCTCCTCATGGCCGCAAGGAAGCCCAGCGATCGTGACTTGTATGTCGAGCTCTGTCTGACAGTGCCTGCTCGCTTGAGTCACCTGCTCCCACATCTTAGTTTTCTGATGCGACCACTCGTAGTTGCTTTGCGCGCGGGTACCGATCTTGTTGGTCAGGGGCTGAGAACACTGGAGCTCTGCGTCGACAATCTGACTGCAGACTATCTGGACCCCATTATGGCGCCAGTTATTGACGAGCTTATGACTGCTTTGTTCGATCATCTGAGGCCTCATCCATATAACCACTTCCACGCTCACACAACCTTGAGAATTCTGGGTAAGCTGGGCGGCAGAAACCGAAAGTTCATGACGAACGCAGTTCCTCTCAGGTACAAAGAATATGCCGAGGATCCCAGCAGCTTCGACGTGCGTCTAATTGGATCGAAGAAAGACCGCGCCTTCCCTGCAGAAGTTGGAATTGATGCAGCGATTCAGAAATTGATGGAGGTGCCCCGCAACTCCAAGAACAACCAGTCGCGCCAGTTTGACGGCTATTACAAACAGCAGGCTCTTCAGTTCATCAAGGCAAACATCAAACTCCGAATTGGCTTCGACCAGCTTCCCGACGACCTACCTCGCATTGTACGACTCCAAGCGCAGGATTTTCTAGCTCGGAAACTGGATGTTAACTTCGCGCCTTTTGACATCTCTGACCGTGAGAGATCTATTCCCAAGAAGGAGGAGCAGGACCAAATAGTCAAGAGGCTTTTAAAGGCTGTGTTATTCACACAGTCAATACCAGAATTCCAAGAAGAGTCGCAGGCCTTCTTGCTCAATATTTGTCGTCATTTCGCTCTCATTGAAGTCGGGCGTTCGTTGGTGGAGCTTAAGAAGCACAACCCATTCGATCCGAAGGCAGGTGAGGGCCCTCTGTGCATTGACACTAAAGTTCTTTCCGAGGCTATCGTGGAGTCTCTCGCATCCGATCACCCCGAGGTCCGTGAATCCTCCCAGAACTGCATTCGGGAGCTTTATGACTCCTTCGTGACTATTTTGGGTTCCGAGGCCAGTGTCTGGCATCTGCCCTTCTTCAACCGCCTAAGTAGCACGTTTTGCCACAGCTGCTATGAGGAAGAATGGTTCACGAAGACTGGAGGCAGCCTTGGTATCCACTTCCTGCTTACAGAGCTGGATCTAGGTGATGCTTGGGTTGCAACGAAACAGACAGAGTTCATCCGTGCCTTGATGTACGTGATCAAGGACATGCCCCAGGATCTCCCTGAGAAAACTAGACGTCTGGCCCAGTCGAGTCTGAAGGTTTTGCTTGCGCGTATCACAAAGAATATCAAAAAGGAGGACGCACTGCCAATACCACACCAGCAAGGTCAAGCGCCGCAGAAACAGCCCAGACTGGCACAAATCTGCATGTTGTTCAACAACGAGTTATGCCACATGAACAAACACGTACGTGAGGCTGCAAGACAATCCCTTGAGTTGATCGCCAGTGCCGCCAGCTGCGAGGTTTGGGAATTGCTTGAACCCTACAAAGAGAGGTTCCTGCAACCCATCTATGCTAAGCCCTTGAGAGCTTTGCCATTTGTAACACAGATTGGCTACATCAATGGCATGACGTATCATCTCGGCCTTAAGAGTAATTGGATTCCGTTCGACGAGAATTTGAACCGACTCCTCATGGAATCTCTCGCACTGGCTGACGCCAATGACGAGTCCCTCGCTAATAAACCCGCCGAGTATCGGACCCACGAGCACATTGTAAACTTGAGGGTTTCTTGTATCAAGCTATTGAGTACTGCGATGGGCTGCGAAGAATTCGCCAACTCGCCAAGCAAGTCCAGGATTCTGATTGTGTACTTCAAATGTCTCTACTCGGAGTCCAAGCCTACCATTCTTGCTGCGCATGATGCTTTGAAGTCTGTTCTTAGTGTGGATAGACGTTTGCCGAAGGACCTTCTTCAAGGTGGACTGAAGCCAGTTCTCCAAAGTCTTCAAGACCCCAAACGCCTCACGACTGCTGGCCTTGACAACCTGTCCAGGCTTCTGAAGCTGTTGACCAGCTATTTCAAGAAAGAGATTGGCACTCGTCTGCTTGATCAAATCGACCATATTGTTGAACCCAACATGTGGCAGCAGATCTCCTTTACGTATTTTGAGCAGAATTCTCAAATGAAGGTCATCGCTGCGATCCTAAACATATTCCACTTGCTCCCAGCCCCTGCTGAGGAATTCAAGGAGCGACTGATTGAGTACTTCCTGACTCTAGAGGAGAGGCTTAGAAGAACACACCATAGCCCATTCCGACTCCCCATATATCGATACATCAATCGATATCCCAAGGAACTTTGGGCCTACTTGGCGGATAAGCTAGGCGAGCTGAAATACGGTCGTCTTCTGGCTCAAGCAGTTGCTCATAACGATAGCTCGCCGCTGCGGGAAGTCGCCGTCGAATCCATTGATGGATTAATGACCAAATGCAATGAACTCATTGCACAGGGAGGAGAAGTTAAATTCATCGGCATGATTAATGCTGTGCACATTCTAGAGTCCATGTGTCACTACCCGAATGCTAGTACCTGGCTAGCCAAGAAGGAGGTCGTTTCTTGGCTGAAGACAATTGGAAAGGATTTCGAGCACCATCAGCGAAGCTACACACTCCCAGCTCACCTTCGATTGGCTTCTTATCAAGCATCTGAGCAGCTCATGACGATCTTGGTGAAGTCACTTGAGCAGACTCCCAAGGATTTGGACAGTCTTTTCAGTCTGGTCGCTTCGGTAACGGCAGAGGAGCTGCGTTCCACACAGAACCTTTTTACTTTCCTTTACGAGCACATCATTTCCGATGACTCTGTTGATTTTTGGAGGACAACGATCCTCCGCTGCCTGGAAGTGTACGCAGGAAAAAATGACTCGAACAAGACGAAATACTTCTTATTGCATTACATTGTCAACCCAATTGTTGCTATGGATGTGATGAGACACTGGCACACCCGGGAGCAGAATAAGACTCACAAGTTGATCGATCGCTCAGTCATTGAATCCGTCAGCACAAAGATTTGGAAAACCAATCCTGAGGGAACTGCCGATGACCAAGCTCAGCCTGGCATCGATCACACTCGGTTTGAACTATTACAGTTTTCTGCAATGCTTGTCAAATATTATCATACAGCATTATTGGAGGCGAGAAAGGACATCATTAAGTTTGGCTGGACCTTTATTCGACTTGACGACATTATCAACAAGCATGCCGCTTATGTTGTTATTGGATTCTTCATCTCCATCTACGAGACGCCGATCAAGATAGTTTCTCAGGTCTATTTGTCTCTGCTCAAAACGAATCAGAATGAAGGTCGCGCTCTAGTCACCCAAGCCCTGGAGTTGATCGCTCCGGTGCTACCTAAAAGATACAGCGCTCAGGGTGGTGAGAGGTCACTGGCTTGGGCTATGGCTCCTCGAAGGATCCTTGCGGACGAGGGCCAGAATGTGCAGCAAATGACGAGCATCTTCCACTTCCTCGTTAAAAATCCTCGCCTGTTTTTTGAGGCGCGCGATAAGTACATGATTCTCCTTATCACGTCACTCCGGAAAGTTGCGGTACCCCCCAACCCGTCACACGAAAGTAGAAAGCTGGCTCTTAATATGATGGACCTGATCTGGACCTGGGAACAGTGGCGAGTTGAAGGCAAACCATTTTCGGAGCAGGAAGTACGGTCGGTCTCTGAATCTCCCAACTCCAAGAAGCGGAAACTTGAGGGAGAGCCGCTCGGAGGACAAGCCGCGGTATCAACGCCTCAGCAAACTACCACAGTCGAGAGGCCTGAATATCAACTCCCACCAGTGTTCCGTCTTAAGATGCTCAAGTATCTGGTTGAGTTCATTGCACAACTGCATGAGAGATATGAACTACCTTCCGCGAAACCCCGAGTTGAGAACACCTCAGTCCTCCCTCTTAGCCCCCCTCCATCTGACCTCTGCAAGCGAGCCATGGCCTTGTTCCATCATCTTGTTCAGCCTCGCTACTGGGGAGACTTAGAACTGGATTTGTTCCCGAACGTCACGGATGTTATCCTTGCCAGCGACAAAACACAGACGATTCTCAACACGGATCCGTCTGATAAGGAGAAATACGACGACAAGTTTCTCACCAATATCATCAACACCTTGCAAGTTGTACGCATTGTTCTCAACTCCAAGTCGGATGATTGGGTTCGATCAAATATGCCAGCCGTGCAAAAGGTGCTAGAGAAGTGCTTGAAGAGCGAGAACCCTGAGATTCAGGACTGCCTACACTCTGCCGACAAGAAGTACGATGATGGTAGGGATCTCAAGCCTATTATCAAGCGAGTTCTCGATGCTGTTCCCGAAGACACACCAATGGACGATGCGGATGCCGATGGCGAGCCAGAGACTCAAACATCCGAATTCATCGCCCATCTCTCACAGGTGGCGACTGAAGCGATGAACAATAGCTCATACGTCTCTGGTGTCAATATTCTATGGTCAATAGGCAACAGGAAACCTACCGTCATCGACCAGCACATTCCATCCCTCATGAAAGCTTTGCAAAGCAAGCATGCCAGGGAACACGTCCAGCACTATAACATAGTTGCCGGACAAGCCGCTGGGATTAAGCAGCCGCCTAGTCAAGATACTAGCAACCCTCCTGTGGAAATGAATGCCCACGATCTCGAGATACAAACAAGGATTATGATTAAGGAGATCCAGGTGGTGGCCTTACGTATGGAACAACTTGGTGACCACAGACGACCTTTCCTGAGTGTCTTGGCAACTCTAGTAGAAAAGTCTATGCATATTGGATTGTGTGAGGAGATCCTGAGCATGGTTCAGGGCTGGGTGTTTCGATCAGAGGGAACCTGGCCCACGCTTAAGGAGAAGACCGCTGTTCTCCACAAAATGCTGTCCTTTGAACATCGACAAGATCCAACTATGCTGTCCAAGTTTCTGGAGCTTGTGATTCAAATCTACGAGGATCCAAAGATCACTCGTACTGAGCTAACTGTACGCATGGAGCATGCCTTCCTGATCGGCACCCGTGCTGTTGACCATCAGATGCGCAATCGCTTCATGACTATCTTTGACAAGAGTTTGTCGAAGACATCGAGTGCACGGCTTGCGTATGTGCTAAACTCTCAAAATTGGGACATGTTGGCAGACTCGTACTGGTTAGCGCAGGCTTCCCAGCTGCTGCTTGGTGGTGTTGAGATGAGTACAAATATTCAGCTTCACCAAACCGACTTCAAGGTCTTGTCTGCTTCTCAGCTTGCTGCGGTCTATGCAAAGGATAAGGAGCATAGAGAACCAACCTTAATGGCAGACGATAAATTCGACGCGTTTATGGCCAAGCATCGGCGATTTATGACTGAAATTGGCGACGTCAAGGTTCGGGATATCATCGAGCCTCTCATCCAGCTGCAGCATATTGATTCTCAGCTGGCCCATGAAGTCTGGGTCACACTTTTCCCGCTTTTCTGGTCTTCGACTGCACGGGACGAGCGAATAGAACTCGAGCGTGGGTTGGTTGTCCTCTTAACAAAAGACTTCCACAGCCGTCAGATCGACAAGCGCCCTAATGTGGTTCAGTCTCTTATCGAAGGCGCGGCCAGAACATGGCCTGAATGCAAACTGCCTCCTCATGTGTTGAAATTCGCTGGAAAGACGTACGATGCCTGGTACACCGCCATGGTGCAACTGGAGAACGCTGCCATCAAGCCAATCAGCGATTCGGCCAAGGTTCGTGAGAGCAATCTCGATGCTCTTGTCGAAATGTACTCGTCTCTCCAGGAGGAAGACTTGTTCTATGGGACATGGCGAAGGAGGTCTCAGTTCATGGAGACCAACGCTGCGCTCTCCTACGAGCAGAATGGCATGTGGGACAAGGCCCAGAAGTTGTACGAGAATGCCCAGATCAAAGCAAGGACAGGAGTCATTCCATTTGGACAGGCTGAATACATGCTTTGGGAGGACCACTGGGTGCTGTGCGCACAGAAACTACAGCAGTGGGAGATTCTTCAGGACTTTGCCAAACACGAGAACTTCCAGGACCTTCTCCTGGAATGCGCCTGGCGCAACACGGAAATGTGGCAGGAGGAACCACAGAGAGATGCCGTCAACGCTGTGATCCAAGGTGTTATGGATGCCCCTACGCCAAGGCGAGCCTTTTTCCAGGCTTTCATGTCTCTGCTCAAGTTCCACAATGGACAGGAACCGCAGAATGAGTTTGTCCGTGTCTGCGATGAAGCGATCCAGCTATCCATCCGGAAATGGCACCAGCTTCCTGATCGGCTTACAAATGCTCATATTCCTCTTCTCCAAAACTTCCAGCAACTCGTTGAACTCCATGACGCCAGTGTTATTTGCCAGAGCTTAGCCAACACGAACTCAACCAACCTGGATGTCAAATCTGGTGAATTGAAGTTGCTTCTTGGAGCCTGGCGTGACCGATTGCCCAACGTTTGGGACGATATCACGGCTTGGCAGGATCTTGTCACCTGGAGGCAACATATCTTTGGTCTCATCAACCAAACCTACCTTCAGCTACTTCCTCCTCAAGGTCAACAAAACAGCAGTGGCGCCTCGTCCTTCGCATACCGTGGTTATCATGAAACTGCATGGATTATCAATCGGTTTGCTCATGTGGCACGAAAGCACAGCTTGCCCGAAGTCTGCATCAGTCAGCTCAGTCGTATATATACGCTACCCAATATTGAGATTCAGGAGGCATTCTTGAAACTTCGTGAGCAGGCTAAATGTCATTATGAGAATCCAGAGGAACTCTCAAGTGGTCTTGATGTAATCAACAACACCAATCTCAACTACTTCAGCCCTCAGCAAAAGGCTGAGTTCTATACTCTGAAGGGTATGTTCTTGGAGAAGTTGAACCAGAAGGATGAGGCCGACAATGCGTACGGCACAGCCTTGTACTTTGACATCTCAGCTGCCAAGGCTTGGGCCGAGTGGGGATACTTCAATGACAGGAAGTTCAATTCGGAACCAACGGATCTGAACGCAGCCCGGCAAGCTCTGACATCGTACCTCCAGGCTGCTGGAAGTTACAAGAACGCAAAGTCTCGCAAGCTCCTTGCTCGTATTCTTTGGTTACTGAGCCTGGATGATGCTAAGGGTTCCATTGCCATGGGTTTCGAGGATTTTAAGGGCGAGACCCCGGTGTGGTACTGGATCACCTTCATTCCCCAGTTGCTTACCGGTCTTGGGCACAAAGAAGCGCCAAAGGTTTACCAGATTCTCGTCAGAATTGCGAAATCCTATCCTCAGGCTCTGTACTTCCAGCTTCGAACCAACCGGGAAGATATGCTCGTAATCAAGAAGAGCCAGGAGGCGAAAGAGAAGGCCAGACAGCGGGGCCTGGCGAACCAGGCTGCCGCTGCTGCTGCCAGTGGGAAACCCAATGCTTCGCCCCAGCAGACGAAACAGGAACCTCCCAAGACTGAAGGGTCGGCGTCGCGCCCCGGAACTGCCGGCGGCAGCGACACCACTCAGCCGAAGACAGAGGTGAAGACGGAAACCAAGGAAGAAGGCACGGCGGCAACTGCTACGCCTGCTCCTGCGAATGCAACGGCTCCCCAGAGTACAGAAAAGAAACCACCTTGGGAGCTCACTGAAGAAATCATGGCGGTTCTCAAGACGGCATTCCCTCTCTTGGCCTTGTCAATGGAGACCATGGTGGATCAGATACAGAAGCATTTCAAGTGTCCTCCCGACGAAGATGCATACCGCCTTATTGTTGCTCTTCTGAATGATGCCTTGGCGTATGTCAGTCGCACTCCGGCCTCGTTTGCTAAGAGCGTCAAGCTGCCATCGGCCACTGAACTGAACATTACTCGCTTCGCGGAGACGATTCTGCCTTCCCATATCAAGAAATCCTTTGAGGCCGATTTCGTCGAGGTCAAACCCACCATGTACGAATACATCCACAAGCTGCGAAAGTGGAGAGACAAGTTTGAAGAGAAGCTTGATCGCCGTGTCACCCGACAATCGCTGGAAGCCTCATCCCCACACCTCAGCGAGTTCCGATACCAGAAGTTTGACGAGGTGGAGATTCCCGGACAGTACCTCCAGCACAAGGATAAGAATCAAGATTTTATTCGAATTGAACGATTCCTGAGCAATGTCGATCTCGTCCGAACCATTAGCGGTTCGTACCGTCGACTGAAAATGCGAGGACATGACGGAAGCGTGCATTCTTGGGCTGTGCAGCACCCAGCCGCGAGACACTGCAGGCGGGAAGAGCGTATCCTGCAACTGTTCAGGGGCCTGAACCAAACCCTCAGCCGTAAGAAGGAGAGCCGTCGGCGCGACATTCAATTCACACTTCCCTTGATGGTCCCCCTCGCCCCTCATATAAGAATTGTGCAAGAAGATACTTCCTACATCACCTTGCAAGGGGTGTACGAGGATCATTGCAGGCGGATGTGTATGTCCAAGGACGAGCCTGTTCTATTCACCATGGAGAAGCTGCGTGGAGTGCTGGAGATGAAGATGACGGTAAGTTTCCAAGGCGACAGAGCTACAATAGTGACACAGGGGCTAACCGACATCGAACAGAATAAACCAGAGCAAACTGCTACGGCTCGACTGGAGGTCTTCAATGCAATCCAGGAGAAGTGGGTTCCCCAGACAGTAGCCCTCGAATACTTCCAGAAGGCGTTCCCACACTTCACAGAATTCTGGCTCTTCCGTCGGCAGTTCTCGTACCAGCTAGCGGCGCTTACGTTCATGACATATATTCTCTATATGCATAACAGGTACCCGCAGAAGATCAATATCGCTCGTGGATCAGGCAACATTTGGGGATCTGAGTTGATGTCGTATATGAGCTCAACCAAACCATTTTTCCAGAATCCCGAGCCTGTGCCCTTCCGGTTGACACCCAACTTGCAGGTTCTGATGGGTCCTTTGGCCACGGAGGGTATCTTTGCATGCTCACTCATGGCTATCGCACGATGCCTTACAGAACCCGAGCAAGAACTGGAACACGCACTGACCTTGTTTGTGCGGGATGAAATGATCTTCTGGCTACAGACTACTCATAGAAACAGCATTAGCGAGAACCAGCTCCGCGAGTCAGTTCAGGTCAATAGCGAGTCTGTGGTCAAGAGGGCCATCAGTCTAGCTCATAATCCTTCTGGCAATCTGCCTGCCAATCAGACGGTCATCGATGCTATCGCTAAGGCTGTTAACCCGATGAGTCTGGCGCAGTGCGATGCTTTGTGGATGCCTTATCTATAATTACATGTGGCTCTAACATTGGAGCTGGCGGATGGAGGCGAGAGGGGTGACGGAGCACAGAAGTGGGTGTGTGCAAGATGTGGTTGTTTTTTAATCAGTTGTATTGTTCCTCAGCAAGGCGTTTGGTGGAATCAGAATGAAGTCCGTTGTGACAGAATCATGTATTTTTATGTTTGACGAAGCTTTGGGTGGTAGGCGGGTGAATTAAACTAAGTGTTCAAGGCAATCGGGTCATAATTTATCATTAGAATAACAAGAAATGCTAATTGATGCTCTTTAACAAATCCATGCTGCTCACCCTGCGCGTCTTGAGTGGAAGCACTTATAGATTCATCACCAGCTACGACTATGAATTCTGTGAAAGGCCTTTTTTTAAATTAACTGTACATTTATCATGATATTACTACAAAGGTACTGGTGCGCACACCAGCATCCATTTATTGATTTCCTTTCCTTCCTTCCTTCCTTCCCTCCCGTGGAGAAGTTGAGTAGAGAATCATCCCATGCCTGAACGCCAACCCATCCAACCAGATTTCTCTATTTTGCAACAGCCGACTTGGGGAACTTGCCCCCGTTGATGCCATACCGCCAGGTCATATACCCCAGCATGCCTGCTATGCTCCCCAGCCCGCTGGCTCCCACGACCGCCTTCCATCCCCCGATCGCCGCTCCCCTCGTGGCAGCCAGCACCGCGGGCCCAGCCACCACGCCCGCGTACGTCCAGTCGTCCGTCTCGAGCTGGCCCTCGTTCTCGAGGAGCCGCCAGCTGCGGTCGCGCCACTCGATCTCCTCGCGGCCGTACATGCGGCCCGCGGTGGCCAGAGCGGAGAGGCCGACGCCGACGAGGGCGCCGGTGGAGGAGGCACCGAGGAGGCGCGGGGCGAGGCGGGCGAGCCCTTGCTGGCGGCGGGCTGGGGAGAGGACGTGGCGGGAGGCGGAGACGAGGGAGCCGACGATGGCGCCGGCGGTGAAGCCGCGGGTGAGGACGTGGATGGTGAGGATTGTGTGGTGGAGGGGCTGGTCCTCTGCGTAGGGAGGGTGGGGGAAGAAGCGCGACATGATTTTTAGAGTCTGGGGCTGTGAATGGATTCAAGCAGCGGATAGGCTGGGACGGATGAGGTGAGTCTTGTAAGTCTTGATTAATTATAGGAAGCTATTCGCAGTAGCTGAGTTTTGGGATGTGCCGTCTTCTTGATGGCACAGGCAATGACGTTTGGTGAGACTAAGGCAGCCTGAATTACGCACTTTGGCCGTTCCAAACCTTGAGCTTGTCATCCCGTCAGCTGATATTTGTAGACCTTGCTGATGGTGGCAGACGCAGATAGCGACAATCTAGAAGCATGCACGGCGTTCAGATGGAGCTAGGGTAGGTCGCTTCAATCGCCGAATTGTGGAGAGCTCTCGCTGATCTCGCTGAGCGTCTGGCCCATCAGAAGCTGCATAATTGTCAGTCGGCCAGATTGTCGTCCGCCGGCCCACTAATACTTTGTAAGGCGGAAGCCGAGTGCGAGGATCCTTGTTTGCTGCATCGCTTCGAGCAAGCTGGTAAGCTGGCAGATTCACATCAGCTCTTCTTTCGTAGTTGTGAGAGACGTGAATAGTTCATCTAGTTTCTATCATATATGTACTTTTCTTTCCTTCCCCGATGCCGTCAAACCCATGATTGGTCCCCCGCCCATGCCATATTCCTGAACGCCATGCTAGTAGTATATCCAGATCTCCACGCTCCAGCAAACAGGGAAAACTCTCAAAGAAACTGAGTACAATCCAGACTGCCCCGGGCATTATATTTCCAAGGAGACAAAGCTAGTCCTCATCAGTCATGTCCATCATGCTCTCCTCTTCTAGCATGGAAACACGAGTCCTCCCGACTGTTCCCTTGCCCTTTTCCAGCATGCCTCTGCCGTAGTGTTCCCCGTTCACCTTGTGAGCTGCAGCCATTTTCTTTTCATCCAAGATTTGCTCAAAATCCGCCAAGTCCTCTGCTTCATCCTCGGCGATTCCGTCCATCACCGCCGTCTCGTCTAGTGCTTTGTTGAGGAGCTCCGTCGCGATGCTGTCCTGTGGATTGATCGCTAGAGCTTCGTGCAAGACCACGACTGCTTCCTCAGGCTTGTTCTGCTCCATAAGTATCAGCCCCTTGGCGCTGAAGATTGCCGCATCCTTTCCACCAAGTCTCAGCACCTCGTCGAAGTGGGCCAGTGCCTTGTTGAACTGCCGGAGTCGTCGCAAGGCATGTGCCAGGTTTGTTCGAGGGGCGATCCAGGCAGACGGCTCGCTGTCAATCTCATCTGCAATCTTCAGCGCCGCCAAAAAGTACTGCGCAGCTTCCTCGAGCCTGTCCTGGTGGTACTTTACAATTCCCATCTCATTTAACAGCAGAGGATCTGTTTTGCACAACCCATATGCTGTTTTCAGAAACTCTTCTGCCAGTGTCATATTGTTGAGAGCATGATTCTGCATGCCCAAGAACACTTGGGGTAGATGTGTGCCCATGAATAGCCGGGCGGCTGTTGAATATGCCGAGATTGCTTGATCGTGCTCTCCCTCCTCGGCAAAAGTATGCGCAAATCCGATCCAGGCTGGTCCAAAATGCGCATCCATCATGCTGGCCTTGCTAAAATATCGCCGCGCTTCGGCGATCTTCTTGATGGCAAAATAATATACGCCAACTGCAAGCCATGTGCAGGGTTCCTCAGGGTGACTGTCGGCGAGATCGTGCGAGATGAGGAACAGCATGTTCTTCATGTTGAGCTCGTAAAGACAAGCGAGATGGACTGGATATATTGTAAAGTTGTATTTGTCGTTTTCGAGAATCGAGTTGGTGATTGCGAGCGCATCCTGATAGCGGCATTGTGTGTATAGCAAATCGGCCCGGGCGAGCTGCAGATCCGGGTTGTCGGCCAGATGGTAGTGAGTAGACAAGGACTCGTATGCGGTCTCGAAGGCGTCTGGGTTTCGATATTTGGACAAACGAGTTGTGTAGAGCATTCGTGTGAAGTCGGCGGCCTCCTGCGATCCCGAATCATCGCCAGACACATGCACCGAGTCGAAATTCAGGGATTCTAGAAAGTGCCACTCCTCGTCCGGGGACAGCAGGGAGTTCTTCATGAGCTGTTGGAAAGCCTCGAAACACTGGACATCAATCCGGACAGCGTCTTTGTAACATTCCTTGGCGGCATCGAATGCGTTCTGCTTCGCGTAACAGATGCCTCTGAGAAAGCACATGGCTGCTTCAAAGCGTCGGTTCGCCGCCTCCTCCTTAAGAAGTGCCTCCTCTTCCTCCCCGCGCTTGCTGGCGCGTGCCACATGGCGAGTCTGTGCCTTGCGCTTGTGGCTGGGGCCCGGATTGGTGATCAGATGGGTAGGATTCCGTTCGCCGAGAACTGTGAGGGCTTCCTCGAAACGAGACTGCTTAATCAAGCAATGGCCGGCGAGATACCGACAGGCCGGACTGCGAGTGATGAGGTCTTGCTTCATAAGAAATGCGTGGGCACGAGTGTAGTTGCCGGTAGCGAAATGTACCTGGGCCAGCCAGAATGCATCATTATCGTCGTCTAAGGGCCGCGGGGGATTAGAGTGTCAGCGGCGTTGCGATTGCAGGGTCTCGAGGACATGACGTCCAGATCCAACTCAACATACTTGTCAGGGCCAGCAGCTTGTCACCGATGAAGATGGCCGAGTCGTACTGCGCTTTGTTCAAGGCATCTTGCCTCCATTCGCGCAGGAACCTTTCCATTATGAACGTGGGCGTGGAAATGCTGCATTTGCATGCGCGGATATGGGATTTACGGACAATTCAATTCACAAGGCCGATGAAGCCAGCTGTGGAGATTGAACAGCACTAGAAGCCACACCTTCGCTGCGGCTGCTTTGTTTGGATTAATTGCCTGTCGCGTGCACGCGTCGCGGGGTTGTGCCCAGCAACAAGTGTACAAGTACACAGGTACTTGGCACTGCTTGCATACCCTACGTACAAGACACAAGCCGTGCCTTTGGAAAACTTATTCGCCCCAAGTTTGTGGCGAATTACGCTTTCTACTAGATAATATTCTCATCACAAGATTTTCTGTTCTGCAACAAATGAGTCAAATGATTTCGGTGATTCCAGATAGCTGCCCTATCAAATGCATGAGTTTGGTGAAAGCGCAGGTGCCTGGCAGGCATTTGCTTTGAGGCTGCTGTGAGGCTGAACCTAAGAGCGACTGCCTAGAATGCTCTGGCCAATCACAGCCCTTCATTCTCGGCCGCCCCTTCTGCCTGGACCTCTCTCACAACCAATCACAGACCGGCACGAAAAAAGGTACATGTCGGAGGTACCGCCTGCCGCGATCACTCCCGCGCACGGACCACCAGAAAACACCTATAAAATCTCGCTCTGCCTCCTTCCCTTTTCCTCTTTTCTTCTTTCTTCTCCATCCGCGTGCTCGGGCATTTTCCTTTTCCGTGAAGCGTTGAGCTGAGAAAGGAATTTTGCTAGTTGAAAACTATTCAAAGACTACTCTCTTCTACTTTATTGTGGAGGAGGAATTTTTGGAACCCTTCGTTCACACACATTGTGTTTTTGTCTTTCATTGCGGCTCAGTCCCTTGTGGATTGGCGTGAAGAAGGTCGTCAGGTCTGGGTGTCTACACATTCAGAAGCGAGGAAGAAAATGCGGTCCATGAGAAGGCTTCCCTCCCGTGTTTTGAATCAATCTTCGTGGAATCGATTTGAAGGGTGAAAGGCGAATTCGGGAGAGGAAAACACGTGAAGAGGCAATACTGAGACGTCAAGAAGGGCAGGGTAGCTGGTCTAGTATAATAAGATCATACACGTAGAATCAAGCATTTGCTCATTAATGATTGAATATCACGTAGCCTCGAGTTTTAAGTGCAAGGTAAATGCTAGTTGACGTGTCGAGGCTCATTAGACTTATGCGGCGGGAAAAAAAATCTCGGCCGCAGTGCGGTCATCGTAGTAGCGCGGGGCATCCTTGCATTTTGTTCAGCAGTGACTCAAACTTCCCATGACTGTCTCGTGAATGATTTGAAGCCCATTGCGAAACCCAACACTGCGCGACGACTACGAGCGACATAACGATAATCCCTCAAGCCGTGTGTGATCGAACGAATACGGATTTCTGCCTCATTCGGTTAAGTCTTGTCAACTTCCATCGTCGTGAATCGGAGCTGTCTTGTCAACCCCACGTCGTTGAATTTCCCACCCACACACAGCCCGACAGCTATGGCGACCGAGGCAAATATCTCTGCCCCGGCAGAGCCACCGCAAGCACCGCAAGCACCGGCGACCCAGACGACAACTGAGAAGACTCAGAAGGAGACTCAGCCAAAAGACCAAAAGGCGAAAGGCGAACAGCCCGCCAAGGGCGGGGAGCCCGCGGGCGAGAAGAAGCTCTCAGGCGCCGAGTTAAAAAAGAAGGCCAAGGAGGAGAAGGCCGCAAGACGAGCACAGGCCAAGGCTGCCCAGACTTCACAAGGCCAGCCATCGGGGGGACAAGAAGGAGCCGGAGATGGGGGCAAGGGAGGCAAGGGCAAGCCCAAGCAGGACGGCCAGGCAGGAGGACAGCACAAGGGACACCATGCGAAGCCAGCCGCCGCGGCGCCTGTGGTACCCAAGGAGGTGAAGCCAGCCGTCCCCGAATGCTTCGGCCATCTCTCCATGGCCCGAAGAATAAACATCACCCAGGCGGACAAGGACGTCGACCCCGCTGTCCTTGTGCTCGGCCAGCACATGAGTACCTTTGCGCTGAGTGATAGCATCACTCGGCTGGAGGCTACTCTCTACGCTTTCAAGAAGGTAATGCGGCATGCTCTCCAGTTGATATTCATAGGAAATTCGAAATCTAACCCGCCTCAAAGGTTATTGACTCATACACAACTCCCATCGGAACCACCTTCTCACGCCACTTCACCTCACACGTTCTCAACCCACAAATCGACTATCTCACAGCATGCCGCCCCATGTGCTTCTCCATGGGCAATGCGATCCGATGGCTGAAACTGCAAATCAGCAAGATCGATATTGATCTACCAGATCTGGAAGCCAAGAAGCTCCTCTGTGAATCCATCGACAACTTCATCCATGAGCGTGTAACCCTAGCAGACTTCGTCATCGCCAACACTGCCGCCGATTTGATCGAGGACGACCAGGTGGTGCTGACATACGCCCACCACCACCTCGTCCAGCGGGCCCTGCTGCAAGCCCAGGAGCAAGGGAAGCAGTTCAGCGTGGTGCTCATCGACGACGCCTTTGAGCGAGTTGGTGTCGAGCACTCCAAGGCTCTCGCCGCTGCCGGCATTCCAGTCACATACGTATCCGACCTTGGTGCCCTGCGATCCAACCTCCGCGACGTATCCGTGGTCCTGGTTGCCGCTGAAGCCATGTTCAGCAACGGGGCCATGTACGCTCGATCCGGCACCTGCGACATCGCAATGGCCGCCAAGGACCTCGGCATCCAGGTTGTGGCGCTCTGCGAGACTATTAACTTCACAGAGCGTGTGTCCATCGACTCGCTCACATACAACGAGATTGACCCCGAGAGGCTGTCCGATGTCGGGTTCCGCCTGCTGTTCGACACCACGAGGGACAGATACATCTCCACAATCATCACAGAGTTGGGCAATGCGTCGCCGACGGCAGTACCGGCAATCCTCAGGAAGCTAGAGGAATTATAGATAACACATCCTAATGTTGGGAGCTGTGAACAAGCAATAGAATGACATGTCAAGATAATTCAAGACCATGACCGTGCTCAATGGTGCCTTTCCCGTAACGTTTCATTTTTTTATTGTAGCTGTGGAAATGCTGTCTCTGAGCTTCATGGCCCTTCATGTAGCCACAATATAGACGAGCCTTCTAATCTGCCATACATGGGACAGCCACGTATAGTGAATAGATCACACACTCATGCGACGACAAAAGGAAGTGAGTAACCGTGGTTTGTTTGCTCCGCCTGGACGCCCCAGGTCTAATTCCCGAATATGTACAGTCGACAGACAATCCTCCATCCCATCGAGGGCTCTACCGAGTTCGAGGTCTTTTGCTCTTTCTTCCTTCCCTTACCAGACATTCATTTATTATCGGTACAATCCAAACCTAGGCCAGAGCCTCAGCGTCCCTCGCGGCCTTCCTCGCCCTCTTCTCCAGGAGCTTGTCCTTGCGCTCCTCCAGCAGCGCCGTCTGCTTGTCGTCGACGCCCTGCAGCCAGTACCCGAAGCTGGCGCCGCCGGCCGCGTAGACGGGGTACACCCAGAGGGATCCCTTGTTGAAGAAAGGCCGCATCTCGATGCCGACCTGCCAGAAGCGCACGGCCAAGCCTAATTTCCGACATTCTTTGTTAGCTTTTCACGGTTTCTTCATCCCCCGTGGTCCTCTCTCTCTACTCGATCGCGAGGGGTTTGGGTTTTGGGTGGGATTGGAAATCTGCCGTACCGAAGGTGCTCCAGAAGGCAATGCGGTGCACCATGTTGAGCCAATTGGTTTCGCTCGGGAGTCGGGAAACGGGAGGGGTATGCGTTTATCTCTCCGATTGGAGTAGTGAGTGGCTGGTAGGCGAAGCTTTGCGTCGGGGAATTGCCTCGCAACGTCGTGAGGTGATGTTCCTGGTGTAGAGTTGATTGAGCTGGATTGCCGAAGCTGATCCACATTTGACTCACGTGACTCACTTCAAGCTCTCGTCCAATGAAGATGCTCCCATTTCCACTCCATGATATAGATCACAAGTAGGCCGCCAAATACTGACATGAATGACAAGATTGTTTAATCTAGTTCTCCTCCTTGGAGATACCTTCTTTCTTACTCGAACGGGCCAGATATCAAAATTGTTGTTGGCGGTATGGGTGAGTTGATCAGCGTAGCCAGACTAAGCCAACTCGAGCTCGCCGACATGAGCAACCAGGCAGCATATAAGCAATAGTACAATCAACCAATATCAGCGAAGTAGCTGCAATCAACTTTGACTAACTGGCTAAAATCATCCTTCTGGGATCTTCGCTTACCCTTTTGCCTTTTCTATTGCCTCCTGCTTCGATTCCAACTGGCCTCAGCTGCCCCGTTCTCCTTTTTTTTTTTTTACCCTGGGACTTGACGTCCTCACACTCTCACATGTTTCATCTAATGTGACATCAAACAAGGAAATAGATTATCAGCAAGGGAGAGTGTGATTCTATTGTTCTAATTATGTCTAAAGAGGGAGGATGTAGGCTCCTTTGGACTCATATATCCTAGCCAAAACACATAAATAAACCAGTACCCCTAACGCCGGCTGCGTCTTTTTGCAGCTTCAAATATACAGTTTCTCGCGAGTTAAAGAATCATGTGCGACTCATCTAGAGTGTAGTACGTTGGCGTTTATCGACCGGATCTAGTAGAATAAGGCGGCGGCGGTTCTCGTGCAGAAGTGGGTGGTTGTTGCGGTGGTTGTGATGGCTGGCTCGCAGTGGATGTGGGCTGCTGCACCCATGTGGCCGCCTTCACCATCATTTTGCCAAAGTATTGTTGTATGAAAGACTCACTGTACAGTGTTAGCAATTGGTCTACACTTATCAAGATGAAGTGGGAATGTAGACTTACGTGTAGTAGCTGTGATCAGAATTGTGCGTTGAAACCAGATTGTGCGCCAGCTCATGAGCTAGAACAACCCACCACCAAGTAGCAGCCTCAGCTTTGGCAGCCCCGGCATTGTGACCGCTAATTTGGGCAGCATGAAGCTGAAGGAAGAACCTGAAATTGCAGAACAAACTTCCTCCTTTGTTGAACGCGATTGTGTTTCCAGACTCGTCATAAAAGATGTGAACAACATTGCGAGACAAGGAGTAGACATTAGCGACATCCATGAGAATTCCAGCGAACGCATTGATAGCCAAGCTGTTTGCAGCGATGAATTTGGCACCCGAAGTTGTCATTTCGTTGGACACGTATACCTTCATGCCATTGGACGCTTCGGCAGCAAAAGATATATTCTGAGCTGGCTTTTGATCGCAGTATGTAGCTTGCTCTTTGACTTCATTGACTTCAGGGTCAGAGAAGAGATTCGAAGAACCATGTGGACGCGAGGCATTGATGGCGTTGAGCAGGTTCTGTTGCACAACAGCTGGACTCGTCACCCGGCCGTCGTCATTCTGAGGTCGCCTCGTATTATTCTCTTGTACCGGTCCTGCGGTTGTTGTAGGCTCTTTGGGCTTGTCTACGAATTGTTCAAGCTGACGCTGGGCATCTGTCTCTTCCTGGGTGTCGAATCCGAGACGGCGCGTGAGATTCGAGAACAGATTGCGACCTTTTCTGGCATAGTCGGACATGTCAACCTTCGGCTCGTCGGGTGAGTCCCACGAGCCAGGCATCACTTGGTTCGGAGTGTCGGGTGTCTTTGCTGTGCCAGAACTGCTTTCGCCTTGTTTCTCAACCGCATTGTTTTGCTGGGCCCAAAGTTTCTCACGCTCTTGGATCCTCTGTTGCTCCTCCTGCAAAGCTTTACGGCGCTCCTCTTCGGCGATCCTTGCCTCTGCGGCTTTTGCGCGCAGAATTCTGTCAACGTTGTAACCTCGAGCTCGGAGTCCATATAGGTCAAGAGTTAGGAATGGCTCGAAGAAGAGGTAGGCTTGCTGATTAGGTCGGTCGAGAAGCATCTGACAGACAGCCTGACCAACCTGATACATGTCCGGTTTTCCATCATCGGCCACATAAAGAACCCAGGAGCCGGTATGCTTGGTTCCAGCGGCAGACCTCTTCTCTGTATGGGTTTTCCGTTGGCCTTGCAAGGTTCGCCTGAGCGCAACTGATGTAACCATTTCTACCTGCAGATTCTTCTCAAGCCACTTTGTGTCATGTTTGATTGCATCCCGGCGATAGTTGGCATACTCATACAGAAAGATCTTGGATCTCTCCAGCACGTGTTTTCGAAGAGAATCAGCAGCCTTGCCTCTACCCGACTGAGGGCCGATCCGGACATCCTCTTGAACAATGCTACTGAGCTTTTGAGCACCAAGAGCGAGGTAAAACTTCTCAAGAGCATCCTCTTCAGGAGCACAGACGAGCTGATCCTTAAAAAGACGATAGCTGATGATATCGTCCAGCACAACAATTTGGTTTGCTGATGCTAGTTGATAATGCTTGATTGGTACTTCGTCTTCTTCCAACTCAATCAAATTCTCTTTGGGGGCTGTCAGCTCCTTGTATGCAAGGAGGAAGCTGGCTGATTTCATCTTCCGCCACAGTTCCTTATCCCGATGGAGAGTCGATGAAGCTTCTGCCAGAGACTTGAGTAGATCAAGATACTTCTCAGGACTTTGAAGCACACTCAGAAGCCTGGCGGGCTCGTTGCATGCCATATTTGCAACCTCGAGTTTGGTCGGCTCGCTCTTTGCTCCGCAAGTGAACAAAAATGCGTTGGCGTCCTGGCCAAAGTCCACAAAGTCGAAAATATCGCCATATGTTGCGGATGTCCCTAGATATACCCGTGAGGGACTGATATACGACGTAGTTGTGGTTGATTTACTGTCCCCTTTGGGAGAAGAAGTTCGAAGAACTGGTACGATATGAGCATTGCGGAGCTTCGCCTTATTGTTCTCGCCCAGCTCGCGGATTCGAGACGCAAAGTACCCAAAAAGAGGAACTGCCGCCTGATGAGACTGGGGAGGATTGGCAAGAAGTCGATTTACACACTCTACCATGGGAGGGTCTGCAGCTACTCCGAATTTCTGAACAATGATTAATTAGTACCAGCCTTCAGTAGAAAGCGTAATGAAACTCACATTGGCATGGTCGTGTAAATCTTTGCGGAGAATTTGAAACCCTAGAATGGACGCGCGCTCGTTGGTGAAGCAAGCAGACGGAACAACCAGCTGCGAGCTTCCTTGCAAAGGCATTATGGCTTTGCGGCAGCTTGAAACATCGAAGGCGAAGTATCTGTTAGTATGATGGTTTGCAATGAAGTATGTCATGGCTTGAACGCGAAGAGTTTCATCTTTGCTCGCCATCATCTCAATCAATTCAGGACCAGAGGGAGAGGGTCGAAGTCCCAAGACGGCCAAGAAGCGCGCTTCCGGTGTTCCCTGACGGAAACTACCAGGAGGGCCTGGCCATTGAAGGATTGGCAACCTTAGTGCTCTGAGGGAATCTTTTGGCTCAAACAGTTCAGAGACTTTGTAAAGAGTCTTGCTCCCTTTTGTGGGCTCGAGCCCCTTGGGACCAGCTTCAGCAGGGCAAATCTTGGAGTTTTGGAGCTTTCGAAGATCCTCCGGAGGAATGTCACCCTGAACAGAGGCGAGGTATTTGATCAGCTCCATATGACTCCATTTCTGTCGGCCGTCTTCGCCAGAAGAACTCAGAAGCCTCGTAAAGATTGTCTCCAGGTCAACCGTTTTTCTGACCCCAATGGCTGTAAGGAACTTTTCTTTGAGCTTGTCACAACCTTCAATAACCGGGAGATCATCGAAAAGCTTCACACTCGGAAAGAAGGATTCGGCTGGCTTTCTCATACCCATTTTGGTAGGCATGACCGTTTGTGGCTGGAGAAGGGTAAGAACGGATTGTCTCTGAGTAGCACTGAGGTTATCCCAGTTCTTAGATATCACCGTCAAAATCTGAACCGCAAATTTAGGTGCCTTGGTCAAGTTCTCGCTCTCTGCCTTGAGGGACTTTGTCTCCAAGAGAAATCGTAACCAAGGGACGACTCCCAGAGGTTCCCACCCTAACGCTTCAAGTTCTGCCTTTTGGCAATGGGAAGTAAACACGAAGGGGATAGTGGTTGGTGGGATTGGAAGGTTTGCTGGAATACTGGCGGGGATCAAGTAGTTTTGGATGCTTCCAAGGGCGATGATCTCGCCTTTTTCTTCCTCCTCGCCGACAGATGCAACGGCTACTTCTAATAGCGCCGATCTGCTGCCGGCATCCAGCTCGCCAGTAAGGCTCATCTTACCTGCCCAGCTGATGAAATTGATCAGTTGGGTTTTATTCAGAGACTTGATCTCAAGCTCTTTCTTGACATCAGTAACCGTGATTTCGGATACAAGGCCAAAATCGATCAACTTTCTCACAAAAGGCACATCCAACATCTCCTGAGGAATGACGGGGATTCTATCGACGAATTTACTCAACTCCTTAGATCCAAGTCGGACTCGGGAAGTCTGGAGAACACCGAGACTTGAGTAGATCTCAATAGAAGCCGATCTGGGGAAACAAGTCCAAAATGATTCCTCAATAACTTGCCCTACCTGCCCGCTGGGGGTGGAATCAGTGAATGTGAATGTTTTTAGATTATGCAAGGCTTCAGGCATGAATTTGACGATGTTGTCATTGCTGATGATGCCGCGGCTGTCAGCTGTGCTTTGAAGCCGACTCTGGAGGTCGTTCATCTCGTTTGCAAAAGCTAATCGAGTGATGATTCCGGCAGCCCGGAGAAGCTCAACATTCCACGTTCTGACCCATCTTGCGTTCAGATCAATAGCCTCTCGTTCGACGGTTGGGATAATCGAAGGTGCAGAAATGTGTAATCCAGCACCTGTGGTCTGCATGGTGGGGAATCCGATGAAGATTCGACCTCCAGGCTTCTTATTTGGGAGAACCGAAGCAAACACATCGGTGGCTTTACCAACGGCGCCTTCAGCTTTTGCTTCTTCTGAAGCATGGGCCTCGTCATATGATGCTGTGAGAATGGAGATTTTGGTTGACTTGGGCGGAGGCTTCTTGGTCGCACGCTCAAGTTCAGATGCAAACGACGCCGTCACATGGGTCTTTATATTTGCAGTCGTCGCTCTAAGGAAGATTGTTGATGAACCAAGCTTTGTTACGTCTTCTGATATCGCCCTTTGAGCTGATCTCTCCTCGTTCTGTGCCCTAGTTTTCAGAAGGGACTGTGAGGATCCGGCAGTCAACCGCGCGAAGAAAGAGCGAATTGAAGGGGCTTCGCCAGTAACAGTAGCGGTGTCAGGAGATTTGTGAGATGAAGTATTGGCCTGGGGCTTCCACCCAACTACATTCATGAATGTAGCATCGATCTGAGTGCTGGTTCTCCCAACCTCCGCAATCTTCATCAGACCGTCCTTAGTCCTCGCTTCCAAGCCTTTCGGCAGCTGTAATTCGGCAGTTGGGGAGGTTTTCTTCTTTAGGGCAAGAATCTGATAATCATCTATCCAGAATTCTATATTTTCGAGGGCAACAAAAGTCAAACTGGTGGCGAGGAACTGGCTAACTGAAAGCAAGTTTGGCAGAGGGGTGGTTGTGTTTCTATTATCCAGGACAAATGTCGTATGCGGACCAGCCTGGTCTTCAGGGAGCTGTGACTTTTTGGTGAAGAGCGCATTTCCCTTCCAGTAGAATGCCATGGCTTCGCTTCCGGAGCTGACGAACGGTTCCTCGCAATCGGCAAACACGCTGTAGAAACCAACACCGAAGGCTCCGATCTTGGTTTCATCTGGGTTTCCCTCGGCAATCCTCTTCAACCGGCCCCAGTCCGTCTTTGTAAATGGCTGTCCATCGTTCTGAACAACTAATCGGCGCACGGTATGGTTGGATATCACATGCTTGAGAAGCTCGGATCGGTCTGATGTACTGGGGAGCGGCACTGAAGTAGAAGGCAGGGTTTCGAACTTGACCATGACGGTCTTCGCTTGGGCATCGGCGGCATTTTGAATGAGTTCTCTCAGAGTCGTCCACTCTCCCGAATAACGAGCAAGAACCTTGTCTATTAACGCGCGGGTATCGACAGTGACGGCCTCCTCATCCTCTCCATCCCGTAGCGCCGTCGCGCGCAACTTCGAGTAGTCCATCTTGTGTCTATTACCGCTCGGTTATAGCCCGTCTATCGTGAACAATCCAGAATCAACAGTTCGTATCGGACATTTTGGCTCCTTAGATGCTTTTGGCAGATGTAACGATGGGACTAGGCGGAGGGGACCGTGGCAATTACGAAAGCTGACCAAGTTCGCCTCGTGGCCAGGCAACACTCCGGTTGGCGTAAGAAATCGTGGGTCGCGTGGAAAACAGTCAAGAAGATCGAATCAGGGGGAACACCAGAGACGATTCTCACTACCCAAGTTGGTCACCGGACAAAGATGCACCCAAAAGCAGAAAGGGATCAAGCACGACGACTCGGCTCAGCAGGCGTGGAAGGGATCACTGATTTACTGACACACTTCGCAGATCGGTCCCCAGCTTGGCTGTGGGGCAGTTGTTTATTTAGGGGTTCTAGCGGCATATCAAGATGCTACAGGGGCCAATGCAAGGTCTCCACCGAGCTTCACCAGCGGGGTTGTAGTGATGGACTCGCTTAACTCGAACCTTCACAACGAACAAAACTCCACTGAGTCATCTTAAGATAGGCCTTGACCTACCTGCGTGAGCTTCAAGATGAGGGTCACGCGAGCTTGCTATTCGGCCACACTGGGCAGTAGCCCCATCCCTCAGGCAAAGCTGAAGTTTGTTCCCAATTCAGGAACCTACCCCAAAGGCTTCAATGTGTCCGGCGTCTTTGTCGGAGTGAAGCCAGGAAATACTAGCAAACCTGATCTGGCCCTCCTCACCTCTGACCGGTCATGCGCAGGTGCAGCCGTGTTTACCAAGAACAAGTTCCAGGCTGCTCCCGTCACATTCAGTCGAAAGCTGCTGCAGACTAGGGCCAATGCTGGAATCCGCAGTGTCATTATCAACTCTGGAAATGCCAACGCCGTTACCGGCGCTGGAGGTCTCGAGGATGCGGCGAACATGGCCAAGACGACGGACCAGCGAGTGGGTAGCGATGATTCGACCATCGTAATGAGTACTGGTGTTATTGGACAAAGGTGAGAGAGCCAATTGACTTATTTGAATAATTCCATGAGTCTTCAATGGATGCGCAGGCTGACATGTCTTGCGTCGCAGGCTGCCCATCCAAAAAATCGTGGATCACATCCCCATGGCATATCACCATGCTGGAGACTCACACAAACATTGGATGAACTTTGCCAAAGCCATCTGCACCACCGACACATTCCCCAAGCTGATTTCCCGAAAATTCACTCTGCCCTCCTCTCCTGGCATTGAGTATAGTATCGCTGGAATCACCAAGGGTGCGGGTATGATTGCGCCCAACATGGCCACCCTCTTAACCGTTCTCGCAACAGATGCTCCAATCGCGCCCAGTGTCATGCCAGCTGTTCTCAAGCATGCCGTGGATCGCTCTTTCAACTCCATCACTATTGACGGAGACGCATCTACCAACGACACCGCCGCTTTACTGGCAAATGGTGCTGCAGGTGGTGTTGAGGTCACTTCCCAGGACTCGGCCGACTACGAGACTTTCAAGGAGCTCCTGACCGAATTCTCCGCCGACCTAGCCAAGTACATTGTCCGTGATGGCGAGGGCGCCACCAAGTTCGTTACTATCCGTGTTGTCGACGCCGCCACTGAGGAGGCAGCTCGTGAGATCGCCCGATCCATCGCCCGCTCACCGCTGGTCAAGACTGCGCTGTACGGCAAGGATGCCAACTGGGGACGTATTCTCTGCGCTGCGGGGTATGCTCTCATTTCTCCCCCCGGACAGCCCATCAATGATGTGCCTGAGATTGTCCCCGAGAAGACCAATGTCTCCTTTATCCCCGCTGATGGCTCGGCTGAGCTGAAGCTTCTTGTAGACGGCGAGCCAGAGCAGGTCGATGAGGAGCGGGCTAGTGAGATTTTGGAGATGGAGGACCTGGAGATCGTGGTCAGGCTGGGTACAGGAGACAAGAGCACTGTTCACTGGACCTGCGATTTCAGCCACGACTATGTGACCATCAACGGTGACTACAGGACATAGAGGTCTATATATATACAACGGCGCTCTGGTTCATAATAAATACGGAAAAACATATTTCGCTAGACAGAGTTCCACTGCCACAACTTTTGCCGTTGTATCAATTTTGTAAAATTGAGCCTCTGTGACTACGTAAATCCTTTTTAATCTATCGCTTCCAAATCAATCCAGCCATACTCCATCTCACCTTTCGCACTTCTATACGCTCAACGTGCCCTTAGTGCTAGGAATCTCACCCTCCTTGCCCGCAACCCTGCTCGTGGCCATCTTGATAGCCACGGCTGTCGCCTTGAAGGCACTCTCGGCTCTGTGGTGGTCATTGAAGCCCCGGATGCAGTCGACGTGCAGAGTGACCCTGGCGGCCTGGGCGAAACTCTCAAAGCAGTGGGGGACCATCTCGCAGCTGAGCTTGCCGAGGAACTCGCGCTTGAGACCCAGCTCGACGACAGCGTAGGGGCGGTTGGAGAGGTCAATCACGGCGCGGGAGAGGGCTTCGTCGAGAGGGGCATAGGCATATCCGTAGCGGGCGAGACCGACCGGGGTGCCGAGGGCCTTGGCGAAGGTGTATCCGAGAGCGAGGCAAACATCTTCAGCCGTGTGGTGATCATCGACTATTCAGTGAAGTTGGATATGTTAGCAGGCGGCATCACAACAGAGAACGGCAAGGCAAACGTACTGTGCAGGTCGCCTTGGCAGTTGACGGCCAAACTCCAACCAGCATGTTTCGCGAGAGCGTGCAGCATGTGGTCTAGGAATCCAATGCCGGTGTTGACGGCGATCTTCTGCGATTTGCTGGTCTGCGAGGCATGGCTCTCATCATCACTGAGCAGGCGGGCATCGGTCTCGGGGGGGAAGTCGCCACCATCGAGGTTCAGGGCAAGCTGGATCTTGGTTTCGTTGGTGTCGCGGGCCATGGCCGCCCAGCGAGGGGGGTGTGATGTGCTGGCCATTTGATCTGTCCCTTTTCTTAGCAGTTGGGCTTGGTTGTCTGCTCAATTGACAAGGCCGTTTAGACACCAAAGTTGGAGGGGCGTATTTCTTTCTATGTTCGCTCCTAGATCGGAGGTCAGCCATTAACTTTTTGCTCCCCACCTTGCCCAATCGCGGGGCGCAGGATAGTCAGCTCCATCACTTCTCTAGCCTCGATCTGCAAGAGCTATATTCAACAATTGATGCTGCAATTCTATAGGATACGATGAAAATACCAATTGTCTTGAAGGCGGCATATTATCTGGGGCAAGAGGGACAGCTGAAAAGCGGTTTAGCCACATGGACATAAATTCGCATTTTTGGTGCTCCTCTTTCATGTTTCTCTTCATATAGGTGTCATGGATATCTAAGAGCTATGGATGCTCCCTAAGTTATGCAGGTTTCCTCCTAAAGGGCCATTTTCACTGCTCTCCAAATGTTGGCCATAAATCACTGATCAGCCCCGGCGTTGTGCTGTTGTATTTTAGTGTGTTCAACAAAAACGGCTGTAGGATGTGCTTCAACGTAGACTGTCTCCGTCGGTTCGACATGTTGATCACATATATAAGTCCCAATGACTGATTGGCGACCACTACTATTGATCTTGTCGCTCATTCGTGGGACTTAAACTCCTGTCTCGCCCTGATGGCGATGGCCGACGGCGTCGGTCTCTGCTCCTGCTTCTGCGCCTCCTTTCTCCTTCGTCATTTCGAGACCGGACCTCGCCACGATGTTGCCTCCCTTCGTCGCGATACCTCCTGTCCCCGCTTCTATCTCTATGCCGTCTCTCCACATCGTGATCTCTATGCCGTCTTTCCCCGCTCCGGTCCCTGTGCTGTCTCTCTCCATCACGATCTCTGTGCCGCCTCTCTCCGCTTCGGTCTCTGTGTCGCCTCTCCCCATCACGATCTCTGTGTCGCCTCTCTCCGCTCCTATCTCTATGTCGCCGCCCGTCTCTGCTCCGATGGCGCCTCCTTTCAGGATCCTCATGTCTTCGTGAACGATCTTTACGCCGCGAAGATTCCTTTGGTTCCTCTGTAGGTGCAGGATTCGAGCCGAGCTGCCTCTGTGTTCCAACCTCGACCGAGTTGGCTCCCGTCGTATCTCTTTTAGGCGGAGGCAGCCCAAGCGCCTGCGCCATCGCATCCTCTTCCGCCTCCTTCACCTTGCGGAGCTCCTCCTTTCGTTCTCTCTCGGCACGCTCCGCATCCGTCTCGTCCGTCTTGGGTGCTGTGGATTCCGAGTTGGCGTACCAGTTCAGGTCGCGGCCCTGCTGCCATCGCCCGACGGGAGCCTTGAGACTGTGGCCGAGGTAGTTCTCACGATGGGACGAGTTGGCGACCTCGTCCCAGCTGAAGTTGACACCACCGCGGGAGCCTGACTTTCGTACTGTCGAGAGCAGATCCATGTTTGATAAAAGGCACCGCTCGCGAGGCGGCGGGTTGTATCTGAGTATAAGAGCTCGTGCCTAACACTGAATAGCTGTCGCAAATCTGAAGTGAATATGCTTGGGGCGTGATCAAATGGATGCTATTGTGAGCATGCAGCATAATGATGAATGGTGAAGTTTTGGCAATGATGCGACGCGGTGGCTTGGGGCGGAATTGGTCCGCAGGAATCACAAGAAAACAGGGCGTCTGCTTTAGCATCCACTAATCTGGGGAATGTCTTAGATGGGCTTTCGAACTCGGTAGACCAAACAAAAGAATGTCTTTTCTCATTTGAGATGTTATATAACTTACTTTGGCTTTTAGAAATAAGTTATCTAGTCGTCAGTTTTATCCTCTTTTATCTTTTCTTTGGGCATTACATCAATACTCTGGAAGAGCTTCACAGGGCTCGTGCTTCAGGACCCACTACAGTCGCTGCTGAGAGCTTCGTTCCAGCGCGTACCAAATCCCAGCTCTCCCTCCCGCCTACGTATCACATCCACCTCCAGTCAACCAAAATGTCAAAGTTAAAGTCGAAAGAGGCTCGCCTCCGCGAGATCCAGTGGCACTCACCAGAAAGCGCCGAGAGTCTCGGCGGCCTCCACTCCAACACCATCCTCTTCTACTTCTCCTTCTCGCCCTTCTTCGAGCGCACCTCCAACAATGCCGTCATCTTCTCCCAGGCCCAGAACAACCAGACCATGTTCCACCTCATCCAGACCCGCGAGGCGTTCGAGGGCCATCTCAAGACCATGAAGGGTCTGCAGTTCGTCGTGGCGGAGGAGCCCGCCGAGTCGGGGCCCGGCGCCGGGACGGGCGTGTGGGTGATCAGGAAGCAGACCAGGCAGGTCAAGTTCCAGGAGGAGGAGATCATAGTCCATGCATACTACTTCATCGTCGGGCTGAACATCTACATGGCGCCGACGATGGCGGATCTCCTGGCTACAAAGATTGTAAGGGCCCCCAGCTTCTCCTAGAGTCAGGGAACGATTTTCGTGGCTGACTGTTCAAATCTAGATGATGATCTCCTCCGCCATCTCGCAAGCACTTACCACAGCAGAGAGCATTAAGAGGTGGCAGGCTTCTACGGGCCATGTATACCAACTCCCCGGCACTGCTACGGCACCCAAGGCCACCAAGACAATCGAAGCCAAAGCAGAGACGCCTCTGCCTGATGCGACTGGCAAACCCGCGACCGCGACCGCCTCCAAAAATGACGAGACGTCGCTGGAAAAGCTCATTGAGGAATCATACTGGATTCACATGAAGTACGGAGGGGACTACATTGACGAGAACCCAATCACGGGACGACCAGGAGAGTTCCACCTCTCATCCACTGGCCGAAAGCCAGTTCCTCCTCCAAAGGCGGTGGAGCAGACCGGGATTGGCGCCATCAGCGGGCCAAAGCTGAATACCAAGATAGTCGACAAGAAGGACGGGAAAGAAAAGTCTCCAAAGTCAGCGACGATGCCCAAGCTCAAGAGGAAGAAGAGCAGAGGCCCCAAGGGTACACCCTCAGCGGCGGCAACCCCTGTTGCCACCACACCCGCCGCATCGTTTTAAGCTGCTTCGTTTTGGCTAAGGTGGAATTGGAGTTATGGCGCATGGAATATACCCATATCGGTGGAACGACAAAAATGAAGAGTGAATTATGTCCAAAAAGATCATTCCAATTTCCAAGTCGGGCTCTGGCCTCGACATGATTATCATGAGTATTCTATAATCTATTAACTGATGCTGATTTCTTTATTCAACTACCCATCCCTTCCCAGGTAGCTTCTTCTGCTTGACCTTTTTGGCGGGCAGCGGCCAGCCTTGCCCACCGGAATTTTCAGCTCTTAAATATGGCACAACCCAAACCTCCCTTGTCATTATCCCGTCTGCGCCAGTCGAGGCTTTGATCTCCTTTATGGGCTTTCCGTAGCTTAATAGTGGTGTTCCCTTGGCCAGTCCAGCTATTTGGGCACCAGATATATCCGTAAGAGAATACATCCTAGTCTTTGGTGTCTTGGTCGAGTCTAGGCCTGAGGGTGTTGATCGTTGCAGATATGAGTAAACGATATAATCTGGGCATTCTTGCGTGCTCAGATGCGCCAGGGGAGACGTTGGGTGTATGTATACCGTGCCGTCCGATTCCTGATCTTGCACGGAAAGAAGAGGCAGATATGGTACATCAATGGCCCGTCTTGGTTTTCGATACTGCTCTGGTGGAGTCGGTGCAAGGTCGGCTCGGATGGCTATGTGGTCGACAAAGCCAGCTGCGGCCATCTGCTTGAGGGCAGCCACTTGCTTGGGAGATGGGGGATCAAGCTTATCCTGGTACTTCAAGTTCGCAAAGGCAGGCACGTTAACCCGTAGAAGCTCGGTGATTTGCTTGCGTAGTTGCTGGATTTCCTTGAGTATCTTGAAACGAACAAAATGGCTCTCGCACCATTGCTCCGTTGGTTCGTGCGCGAATTCAGCAACGACTTGAAGAAGCTTGATTGCATCAGACTTGTCATCGAGGAAGCAGAAGTTTCTGTGGACCTCGTTGAAGACTCGCCTGATCTGTGCTTGTTGATCCTCTGCAATAACCGCAGATTGCGTCCGGATGTCCACATTTTCCTTGGCTGCAAGTGCTGGCACTGCCGTATTCTCTGGAAGAAAGACATCGGCTGCGGACAAGCCTGCAACTAGAGCGATTGTATAAGGCAAACAGTCATGCAGGTGCCCAACAAGGAGAATTCTGGCAAACCGAGGCGAGAGTGGGAACACAGACATTGTTTGACCAACCTGAGTCACTTGCCCACTGTCCGATATGGCTGAGAGATATGTGAGAAGCTTTTCGGCTCGTGCTAAGTGTCGTCGATCCGGCGGAGTTGGGAAGGGAAAGTTTACCACATGCTGAAGATTCATCGCTTTGAGCTGCAAAACTATGCCTTCAATAGGCATGCGTAGCAACTCTGGGTCTGAGAATTGCACAAAATCTCTCTCGTAGACAGCTGAAGAATAAAGCCGATAGCAATGGCCAGGCCCAGTACGACCAGCTCGACCAGAACGCTGGTTAGCGCTGGCTTTGCTAATCCACCCGATCTCGTAGCTTTGAACACCCGTAAGTCGATCGTAATGTCTTTCTTTTGATCTTCCGCAATCAAAGACATATCTCGTGCCTGGGATGGTCAAACTAGTCTCTGCAACGTTGGTGGCCAGAATGATTTGACGAGTTCCTTCAGGAGGCTCTTCAAATACGCGAAGCTGCTCACGGGTTGGAAGCAAGGAATACAGTGGGAGGACCTGCATCTTGAGAGGCGCTGCCTCCTGGTCGTCTTCAATCTGAAATTCATCTTCCTCATCTTCTTCCTCTCCCTCGGAGAGGATGTCATCGAACTCATCCCCAGCATTCTCATCGGCATCCCCAAACTCGATGTCCTCTACTTCAACTGGAGCTTCGTTGGCTGTAATTTGAACTTTGGGGGGTTCTGCAGACCGCATTCCTCCAAAAGCTGCCTTTAATTGCTTGCTAAGTTGAAGAATCTCGTTACGGCCAGTTAAGAAAACCAAAAAGCCGCCAGGCGGAAGCTTGCGATGTCCACGGCTGATCTTCTTGAACGCTTCCTCGACATAATCAGAAGAGGTCCGTCGCGAGAAATGCATTGTGACTGGATGCTGACGTCCCTCAACTTCGAGGACTGGAGGCGGTGTTGAGAACAACGTCGGGTTCATTGTGAGATCTTCTATCCTGAGGGTAGCAGACATGATAATCAGTTTTAGGGGCTTGACTGAGGAATCTTCCTTGGAAAGCTCAGCCCGTAGCTTGATCACTCGGCTGAGCATGCCGATAAGAATATCTGTGTTAACGCTTCTCTCGTGAGCCTCATCAATTACAATTGCAGAGTACTTTCGCAGTGTAATATCCTGAGCGATCTCCCGCAACAAAACACCATCAGTCATAAACTTGATGGCGGTCTTGGAGCTGACAGTACCCTCGAATCGGATCTGGTAAGCCACTCGGTCCGAATGGTCACCAAGTTCCTCGGCAACTCTCCGCGACATACTGACTGCCGCCACCCTCCTTGGTTGAGTAATTCCAATTAGCCCTGGAGTGGGCGAATCTGGTGATCCGTAGCCGGATTCATAAAGAAACTGAGGGATTTGAGTCGTCTTTCCTGAACCAGTGGCACCACAGACTACAACGATATCGTGGTTATGTATGGCTTCCATCAGCCTCTGCTCCTCGGAAACGACGGGTAGCTTGAGCCGAGCTTCTTGAATTTCTGGTGTCCGTGTGACAGACACGCTGAATACCTTCCTGTCTATTCTCTCGGTCGGCTTGAGCTCCATTGGCAATGGGTCTTGCTCGGGGGCTCGAGGAACAAAATTATCAGGCTTGGGTATCACTAAATTCGAAGTGGAAATCTCGTCTGTCGGGTTGAATCCAAGAGCTTCATTCCGCTGTTGAGTGGCCCAGGCCTTGAATGCTGATGACCTTGCACCTTTGGATTCGCCACCATCCTCTTCTGGCTCGGAGTCGTCGGAGTCCTCATCTGAACTCTCATTATCCTCTTCGGAAGGGCCATTTTCTTGACTCTCGTCATCCTCTGCTTCCTCTGAGTCCTGGTCGGATGTGTCGTCTTCTTGGCTGTCATCCTCGCCCTCGTCGCTTTGAAAGCCACCCCACTCTGATTCCTCTGATTCATCCGATTCTTCCTCGGTCGGTACCTGAATCGGGAGACTTGTTACTTTCGACTTTACTCCGCCACGCTTTTGCCTCTTTGGAATGATAGGTCGGCCATCATCACCCACGTCCAAAGGCCTCTTGAGACCTGCACCGATGATCGGGGCGCTCACAACCTGAGCAACTGGCTTCTCAGTTGCTGGTGCTGGTGCAGACTGTGCTGGCGAAGTATCGTCGTCGCCCATCACTTCATCATCTTTTTCTCCGTCCTCGCCGGAATTGTCCAGTTCTTGGGCATCCGCATCCTCGCGCTCCTCATAGAGTAGATTTTCGCGCGAGGCATCACCAGCTAGTCCCGCCCGCTGTTCCTTTAGGGCACGCCCAAGCTCCTGCTTCTTGGTCTCCTTTCCAGAACCAAGCGACTTGCTGCTGCTGAACAACGTAGTGTCGACCTTCTTCCCAGCCAATTTAGCCAGTAGTTCCCTGGTCTCATCCTTGCGAAGCTTACTGTCGATGTACTTTTCTAGACGCTTCGCCTTCTTCCCGCTGACTTTCACACCCTCCTGTCGCAGCTCATCTTTCATCTGCTTCTTCTTCTCCTCCAGGTCCTTTTCGCGGGCCGGAAGGACCTCCGTGTTGCTGTCCTGCACCTCATGACGGGCGCTCTCCTGGGCTTTCTCACGAGCCAGCACCTTGTGCTTCCTCTGACGAGGTACGAACTTTTTTGCCATTTTTTGTCCTCTTTTTCTGCGCTTCTGGTCCAATGTCTTCGCTCTAGGGCAATTATATAGCGAGGAGCATTTTTTAAGGGTGAGCAAGATAAGAAACCTCTAAATTCTTGCCTGGTGTAGAATGTCGACTTCTGGCTCGGAGACTCCCAGGAAGGACTTGAAATTTTAGTGGATCCCTGTTTTTGCCGGAAGCCACCGCCAAAATCTTCATCTGAAGCGGGCATAGTGCGGGACCGGACGTGATTCCACAGCGGGGCACTCCCACCACAAGCTCCCAGCTGCCTGTGCTGCAGCTTGATTACTTGCCTGCACGTTTATAGATTATCCCATCCAACGGTAAACGCTCAAAACATCCGCCCTCATGGCCCAAGAAACAACGCTGGATGTGCGGGAGGAGGCATTCCCCGCCCCCAGCCGCGCGGTCTCTGGTCTCATCGACAATATCTCGACCGAGATTGCCAGAGTCGACTTCTCAGACAAGATCCTCCTCACCATCTCACAAGAGGGTCGGCTTGCGCAATGGGTAAGTAGTTCCACCACATATAAGCAACGATATCACCCACAATTGCTAACATTTCTCCGTTCGTTAGGTTCAAGTTCCTCTAACAGGATCTGCTTCAGGCGTTGTTGAAATGTCATTACCAGGGACAACCCGCGGTCTGCTGCCCTCTACCCACCTCACGCCCACCACCCTGCTCGGCGGCGGAGGGGAGGACCGGGAAACAGTCGGCCAGCTCTATGCGGCGCAGATTGCCAGCCAGATATCCTTGAGATCGCCAGACGACAGGAGGGTACTTGTCCTTGGTCTGGGTCTAGGGAAGCTCAGTCCTGAGCGGGAGGCGTTTTTTGACTTGTTGGAATTGGTACAGCAAGTTCTATGACATGCATTTCACAAGAGAATACCTACCTCATTGTCAAGATTGGAGTAGTTTAACGCTACGTAAGACTTCCTCGTCGAGTCGGAGGAATTTCATCTCTACTTGATCGGGGCAGGCTTGGGGATAAGTAGTGGATGATTCAAGGTTCCACGATTGCTTAGGTACCTATGGACCGCACAGCACCTTTATGATCTCATGAAGGATTTGGCCGAACGAGATTTGGTACGTAATGAGCCGCACGTCAGGCTTTAGTAACACTAGTTCGTTTCATTGAAATACATGAGACTATGACCTACGAGGCCTTGCCTCGTGTCAGCAGCGTCATGCCTGCTATCATCAAAAGGCTTCATCTCTTACCACCAGTGGAAAATGCAGCCTCCCAAGGGTGAACAAAACAAATAAAAACGCAAACGTAAAAAATGTCTTCTTTTTCAATTCATCACATCCGTGGATTCATTATCTGCATTCAAGAATGCATGCCTTGGAGCTGGCACCATCTAGACCGGATTTCCAACCTTTTAAAAATGTTCATGAAGTGCGCTCGATTTCCACATATCGCCGACGAGTAACAGACTGCATGGCCAGCAGAACCCGGATCTGAATGTACATCACAAACCGAGGGTGGGCCTACAATGTCATGGGGCAGCCTGCAGAGATAAAAAATCAAGTAGGCTGTTGGTGCTAGATATATCGGCGGTAACACCGTGCAGCTCAATTAGGCCGACTGGCAGCCAAAATGCTCTCAATTCATGAATACGTCACCTATGAAGCAGAGGGTTGCCGACTCTTGCGATCCCTGCTGTTGTTGTTAAAGGACTGTTTAGTATTGATCAGACAAGGTCGGAAGAAAAGGTGAAACTTACGTGCTGAGTCTTCGGGAAAGCTGCTGCAGATTCGTATCGTTCTCTGCCTCATGAGCAGCCTTTTGGAGCGCCTGCGCTCTTTCTTCCTCCTGAACCTTGGCTACCTCTTCGTGAGATGGAGGTAGGCGTTCGTTCTGCAGATCCACCTTTCGCGCGTCCTCGAAACTCTTAATAGCTTCCTTGATACCTTCGCCACCAAGCATTAGAGTGCCAGCAGGAAGGCGACCACCAGAGACGGTCTTAAGCTCGGTGACCTTCTCCGATTCTTCGCGCAAGACTTGGAAGACCCTTGACATGCGGCCAATGGCGAGAACTTTGTTCTTGATTGCTCGCCGCTTATATTCGATGGATTGGGGGTCATCAATATCACCCGTTCCAGTGGGAGAAGCAAGAGATCCAGGTGAGACAGATGAGGGGGTTTCTTCTTTGAGCTCCTCCTCTGAGCAAGTGCCCAAAATCGCGAGAAGCATGTCGGTGATCTTCTCTCCCACGAATGGCAGGGACCAGGTGAATACATCCATGAAGTTCGGCAGCCAGTAAGGATGGGGTGTGCAATTGAACTGGCGAATGTTCATGACGTTATTCTCATATTTGAGGACAGCAGCCTTGTTGTTGTAAACGTCCAAGTAATTAGGAGCAGAGAAGATGGTCATAACACTAGGGAAACCGGTTGTGCGTGTTTTGCGATACATTCTGTAACCAGCATCCTGGGCTTCATGAGCTCGAATGACAGAGAGGAGGTTATTCTTCTCCAGAAAGGCGCAGGCTGCGGGGTAGGAGAAGAAGTAAGAGCATCCTCGGACATGGTTGTGCAGGAAGTATTCACTTGTCTTCTCTTGACCAAAGTCTTCAAGAGGATCAGCCCAAAGGATATCGCACATGAGACCTGAAGTTGGGGGCTCTCGGAAACGGTCAATCTAGATATATTTGTTAGACCAAGTTGGAAGCAAGTTAAGGAGGGTTGGAGCTTACGTTGCGAATGTCATCAAGGGTATGAAGCTCAGGGCTGAGACCACCATGAATACAGAGGAATTGCTTGTTCATAACAGCGGCAAGGGGAAGGGAGCAGAAGGACTCAATGCACGCGTCGTATATGTTTTCCGAGTACTTGTGCTTGCATTCGAGTTTGAAGGTGAAGTAGTCAGTCAAATGGCGGCACTCGTGGTTTCCTCGTAGAAGCCACAGCGTCTTGGGGTAGTGAATTTTGAGAGACCAAAGGTAGAGAACACATTCAAGACTGAAGTAGCCTCTGTCCACATAGTCGCCGAGGAAAAGGTATCGAGTCTCAGCAGGGTCGCCGCCAACTTCAAACAGCTTCATCAAATCGTAGTATTGGCCGTGGACATCACCGCAAACAGTGATGGGAGCATCCATTTCTAAAAGGTTGGGCTCGTTTCGTAGAACCTCGGTACCCTTTTGAATGATCCATAGGGCTTGTTCCTCCGTCAAACGACCTTCTCGATAAAAGTGTTGCTTGAGGAAAGTGATGTTTGGCTTGGTTCGAGTCTCGTCTTCGAAAAATTGTTCATCGGTCGGGACGGAAGTAGCTGGGGCTTGGACATCTGCAGCAATGAAAAGTCAGCGATCGGCATGCCACATTTAATTGCGATTGAGTTGAGGTCCTCAAAATGTTGCTGTGTAGGATTTTATCGCTTCTTCGCCATGAGAGTGGCTGAAGTGGGAAGCTGATATGGTGGGGTAATCAATCTGGAGAACCAACCTTTGCAGACACGCTCCATAGTATTCACCTGAGTGCCATCCTCCATAGTATGGATAGTAAAGTCGATCTCGGGAAGAGGCTTCTTCTCCTTGATCGCGCGAATAGCATTGTCGACCTGCAGCGCGCGGCGATCCTCGCCGGAACCTCCCTCGCCTCCAGACTCCATGTTTGTAGGTGCGGATGGGTTGAGGTCGGAGACGGGTGCGTGACGGAAGGAAAGAAGCAGATGAACCAGCAGAGGCTTTCTCTACTAGAGGATAAGTCGCGGTCGGGCAGCAAACTGGTTGTCGAGTCTGTGTCGACAGAGGCCCAGCTTCGCAAAACCAGAGATTGGGCTGCCGCAGGTAATATACGTCGGAATTTCGATGAGGTGAGAGTGGGAAATGGGCTGGGAGGAGGCACTGTGGCGGCAAACTGCCTAATAGGTAGTACGTACAGGCAGGTACATCCCACCGACCCCCTTTGTCTGTAGTGCGGTCAGTCGGAAAGATGTACCAAAACCCTACCACATCTCACCGCAGTTGCCCCCATTTGCAGTTAGTGTCCCATGTCATTTTTCCCTTTAGAGGTGAGCTCATCGTGCCCAGTTACCACATTTGTGGCGCAGGTCAATTCGGCTGCGGTGCCTCGATGATAATGTGACCGTATCTTGCCTATTTCTATTACGAGCATCGACTTGATTGATTCGACTCCAAAGTCCTAGGGAGGATCCCGGCTCTCCCATTCAGATACGATTACCGCCCATGCCCAGGGGCCTCTCATCCACCTAACAGTGCAAGGCAATGGCTTCTTCGTTCGGATAAGACGACCGCCCCACGGAGACACATCGCTCTCCCCATGAGCCATCAAGCGACGACGTACAAGTTCGTGCAATTTGGGACAGCCCTCCTGCAGCCTCGCAAATTTCGCCTCTAGACTATGCGAACCATGCAGCAGTCGTCCGCCTACAGCAGGTCAAAGTGTGTGTATCATGAGTGCCAATGCAGTGCACCAAAAAATACGTTGGGCTGGTGGGTGCCCCGCCTCACCGGTTGGATCGCTCGACAGGGGAGGGGCCTATCTCATCTCCCTAGCTCACGAAGTGGGCGGGACATAAGCTAGGAATAAGGCCTTGGGTGTACCAAATTAAGCTGTTGCAGCCAGACTTCGTTATCATGGCGGATGCCCATAAATGAGGAGGTACTTGCAAAGCACAAGTCCCTCCAGCAGTCTTCTTCTTCGTCTATTCCCCATGTTTTCCAGTCACCATGCACGTATAAGCATCGTGTTTCAGCTCTACGACATTCCCGACTGGGACGTGCTAACATGTGTTTGTCAGCTCCTCTCAACATTCCGGGGGTTGGTGCAAGCAAAAACAGCAGCTCCACCCCCAAACGGGTGCCAATCTATATTGCCGACTTATTAATGAACACGGTGCTCATTCGCGAACCTAGTTAATTAGTTTGCATTCAAAACTCGTAAGCACTCGCTGAGGTTGATGGCTTAGAACATTTCGCATGTAATCCTTCCGATGATATCTATAGACATGTCTCGCTTTATAAATTGTGCAATTCATTATTCCTTAAATTCCCACTTGACCCCTCCAGCAGTTTGCCCTTTTTTCTAAGGTAGGCAGTAACCTCCATCCACAACCATGTCGAGCCCAGTGGTATACGAGGCGGCATCCGAGGCCAGGTAAAGGTATGCACCCTTGAGCTCTTGTACTTCGCCCTCACGTCTAAGGACCGGATTAGCACTGTGTTATGGGGGAGAAGAGGGGGATAACACCTACCCCATGGGGGTCTTGTTCCTCCACTGATTCTTTTCGTCAGGCGATGCAAAGTTCGAGATTTCCGTCTTGATGTATCCTGGGGAAACAGTGTTGACGCGGGCAAAGCCGGTCCATTCGACAGCGAGACTCTTGCCTGTGACAGATGTGATTAGCTACCCAGCATTTCTCTGGACTTTGGGAGGGGGATGAATCGCATACAGAAGTGGATAACAGCTGCCTTGGAGCCATTGTAAACGGCCTGCAGCTGGGGAATGTTCACAATGCTACCGCTCATAGAGGCGGTGGCAATGAAACTACCAGCAATAAAGTTGTCCAGAGGCTTGCCGTCAAGCGTAGTGCCCTCCTTCTTTTGCCGTCTGAAATGAGCCCCAGCAGACTTGGCACACCACATCACGCCGTCGACGTTCACAGCCATGACCTTCTTAGCAGTCTCGGGGGACCCATCGATGAAAGGGCCATCTTCCCAGGCAATACCAGAGTTGGCGACAAAGACGTCGAGACGGCCGTTGAACTCGTTGACAATTTGGTTGATGGCGCTTTCAACAGCCTCAGCTGAGACGACATTCACCTGATAGGCCTTGCCTGTGATAAACATGCGTTAGCTCTGGCGGGTAGTGGCGCTTCAACGTGCAGGTCTAGGGCCACCATTAGCTGGCAATTGAACTTACACTTCACACCATACGTCTTTTCGATGTTGTCGGCTTCCACCAGGGCCTGCTTATTGCTGTTGTACCAGATGGCCACATTAGCGCCAGCCTCAGCCAGCCCGTGGGCGATTCCGAGCCCGATGCCAGCACCAGCGCCCGACACAATCGCTGTGCGACCCTTCAAGGAGAAGAGAGGAATCACACGATCCCCCTTGGGCACCTCCATGTTGTCCTGGAGGAACGCCCCGTTCTTCATATCCACGGCCATTGTGGTGTTGTTGGCTGATAGCAGATGACGTCTGATAAACCGTTGGTTTTAACGGCGGCTTATAGTCACGGATGTCGCAGTGGAGAGATAAACGGGTTTCTTCGGCCGCAGGAATTGGGATCGGGAGGACACGAAGCTTTAAATACCTACAGACGGTGAGGCCATTACGGAGCTCCTCCCTACATACGACCTATCCCACATCTTGGGTAGCGCCTCTACGCAGTGGTACTTTGCCAGCTTTCCCATCTCGGGAAATGCGACATTTTTACCCGCGATAAACCACACAAAAGGCTGCCTGGACTGGGGACCTGACGTAGTCGAGCCCTGCCTCGGGCGCGCAGTGACGACGGTGTGGAGCTCTGTTGGAGCATCGCATATGCTCCCCGCGATGGTTCCCTCTGCACTGGCGAGCCAGTCATTGCGTAGCGTCGGCAGCAATCCGGTGTCTTCTGCGGCTGGCGGAGCGCAATGCCATGGCATGCCACATTGCAGGGCGACCGTTGCCGCACGAGGGCGCCGAGCTAAAACAGTAATTGCCTCTGCGGAGTAGAATGTACTACATACGATTGGAGGGTTTCTGTTTCAGCTCTGCATCGTTTGCTGCACGTCTGCAAAAGAAGGTCTTGTCCCGATGGATTAAGCCGTGAATTCAGCACCGAGTCAGTCCTATTTCATAGTAGACAAGCTTTGCTATTGACAAATTGGATCCGTCCGGTCGTTTCCCCTCACGAGGCTTATTCCTCCTACAAACACGTCACATCCAGCCTACAGTATCACGTCGGCGTAGCATCCATCAGGGTAGCGGAAGTGAGAGGTCATAAATGATAAGGGCAAAGAGGGCCGAAATAATTCTATCCTCCTACTGGAACTAGTATGGTTCACAAATCAATTTATCCGGGCCAATTGCTCCAGAGAATCGGCAGTCCGCTGAAGAAAACTCGAGGCAGTAGTACTTATCGATTAGACGAGCACCCAGCTGCCCAATCGACCCCTCATTAAGAAGCACCATTGAATCAACACGAAAGCAGATACAATGCATACAGTCGCTGTCAGCACTTCCGAGGTTGACGGGTACTCTCGGATGAGAAGTCAATTCATCCTTGTTTCCCGGATCCCAGAAGCAAGCAATCGGAATGGGACTTTTTGGTCTCTATCTATGCTGCCACATGTTGTGTAAGATCACATCTGCGCGATCGTAGTTGGACAGCTTCCAACGTGAGACGAAGTCATCTCGGTTAACTGCACGCGTGAGACTGTCAGTTTACCGGCATTGAACCATTACCGGGCCGGACTTGGTCTTGTGGAATGTCTCAGCAATGATTTCACTTACTGTAGGCGCCGCACATCCTTCGAAGTCCCTTAAACTCGGCTCTGCCATGGAGTATTCTCCAATTGTCAAATACTATAGTGAGAGACTGATTAGCCTCTCTATTTCACGCCCATACTCTTCCCAGTTGGAAGAATGATACAACCTACCTAGGACTGTTCCAGGCTGGAGCTGGAACCAGCACTCGCTCTCTTTGCTCTTAATAATAGAGTCCAGCTCACGCGCTGCAGCGTACCATCTATCCACAACATCAAAACCGGCTTCGAGTGGGACAACACCGCGGTCCGAGTTGTTCCAACGGATCCGGCGTATCGGACCGTCTAAACCACTTTCTGTTTCGATAACTGGATAGGTAGCATCTGGAGCAATGGCAACATCCTCGTTTCCACTTGCGTGCCAAGGAATCTTGACCTCGCAAAGTGTCTTGAAATATTCAGGGTGCTTCTCGCGCAACTTTTCTGCGGCGTAGAACCCGTCGCACAGCAGCGACTCTCCACCCAATGCATCGTTCGTCTCGCCAGGTGGGGGGATATGAGAGAGCATATGGAAAGCCTGAAGTCCCGTCGGCTCCGTGAAATACGTCGTGTCCGTGTGCGCGCCGAGTGCGATGTTCGTGTACGCGGTATCGGCTTTGGCCAAGTCAGGTACGAAGTCGTAGAAGCCTCCGTAGTGTGTATTTCGGACGGGCCCAATCCTCTCAAGTAGCTCCTCCGTGGCTTCTGGGCTAACTGGTGTGTTTTTCACGAACCCCAGCCCGTAGTGATACTAAGAAATCAAATATGAGAAATTCGAGCCCTTCTATGGCTGCTGTTGCCTGGAACTCACTCACAATTGCAGCCGTTAGCTTAGCCATTCCCGTGCCGTTTTTGTCCATGACGTCTTTGTAGTCAGTCTCTCTAGCCTCTGCCCATTCATCCCACGAGTTCGCACTCCAGCCTGGAGCCTTTGACGGTGCGGCATTCACCCCCTCTTGCCGATGCGAGGGAGCCATTGATTTCACCCAGTTCCATGGATGGAAAGACACATGCTGGTCCGACCCTGGGCGCATTAGAACCAGATGAGAACGGTGGATATAAGGTCATTTTCGGCATACAGGTAACATGAACACCATCTTGTTGGGTCTGGCTATGCTCTGCCTTGATATTACTAGGAACCTGTTCATAATCGTGTGAGTAGATCATTCTGCTTCGGTAGATCGAGTTTTCTTACATCGAATGTATCAAAATCTTTCTGAAGAGTGTCTTTGTTTACACACAATTGGCAGCGGCAGTTATCCCTATACCAAGTTCAACACATTGTGCACTACCTGGGGACCGACGAGATACACACCTCAGCCAAAATTGGGACCTAAGCTCTCTCAAATGTCAGATTTGTACCCTAAGCTCCCCATGACGATTCAAAAAGACGTACACATCGATAGAATGTTCTGGCTGGCTATCCTTGGGAGGGAAGAGGAACCGTACTTTGTTCTTTTCCACCTGGACGTCCAATTGAAATGTTCTTGCGTGCAACACATTAGGCCTATAAATACGAGGCCGGCACCAGAAAGACCTGCCGTGACCATGTCAGAGTTTGGGTGTTAAATCACTTTCGAGATGAGAACAGCACCTTGAGGCCAGCCGTGATGATGCCGTACGACCGAGCATGGCTTGCGGCGATGTGGAGTCTAACAACCGTCAAGAAGCGCTTTGTTCAAAATTGAGTTTATATAGGAATTGTTTTATTCATGAAATTTGTTTTGCCCGTTCGCCTCAGCAGATGTATTTGAAGTAGACCTCGGTTCTTGCAACCGGGCGCTAGATACGCACACGTGATACGGCAAGCTCCAACTTGATCGTGTGGCCTTCTTGAAGGCTGTGAGTCCCAGCCGGAGATACCCACATCTAAGAATTCGGCTTGTTTTCTCATTGATACACCCCCCGCTTCCAACAAAAAGATCCCCTCATTTTGCTTGGCCCTACCATGCTTTCTCCCAGCATTACCCAAATCGAGGCTTCTCCATAATTTTGCCATTTCCAGCAGTATTGATTGTGCTCTGAGCCGGTTGATAAGGCCAAAGATAGTGCCAGGGTTGTGAGATATAGCCAGACCAGCGAACCAGGTACTATATGTAATAATCAGTATTCTGGAAGCACAAGGCCAGCTCCTAAAATAACTCTGCCCAGGTGGTAAGCATCTAAGATGGCCCATATTAAAGCGCTGTTCGACAGGGTTGAATTGAATGGGAAGGCGCTATAGCCTGGTGCTTGTGTGGGAGAGCCGGGCCAACAGTAAATCCGCCGAATGGCCCATCTCAAATGCTGACTACGATAATGATAGGCAGACAGACACACGCTACATTGCCACGCAGAGCTAGCTGGTATTCAGGTTTAAACAGAGAGCCGTCGTTCACTTGTTTCTCGCCTTCTGTCTAATTCGAACAATTGACAGATTTGCTTTTGGGAAAACTTGCCAGGTGGATTGCTCAGAAACAGACACCAAGCCGCGGCGCCTAAACGGCCATGGCAGCTCATTCGAGTTGAAGCTCTGTCGAATTAACCGTCCCAGATAGTCGCACACGAGATCACTCGACACCAGCATGTCTTCGCGCCAAGCAAACTACGATTCTTTATATTTCGATCGGCTACGAGACAGTCGCCAGCCCCTCACCATCGAGATTATCTGGAAACGAGTCCAGCAGCCAGATGGGATCATCTCCGTTCTGATCCTTTTCGGTTCGATCCTCTACCATCTCTATGGATCGCCAGATGCACTGGAATCGGGCATTAGGTGGCTTGGATCGTGTATATGGAATACGCTTGTCTACCTTACACCGTCTCCCTTGATCAATTCCATCGACAACTGGCACGGCTCGCTTCAAACACCCCGATCGATGCAGTCCTCACGATCAACCACCCATGCTGAGAAAAGCGCAACCATGCGGCGGCTCTTGGGCCTTGACCAGCAGGGTGGCATGATGGCCTCAGTGTTCAAGGCCCGGACGCGTGCGATCTCGATAACAGGCAACGCGCTCGGCTTGAAGGGCGAGGTGGAAAAGCCACCTGGGCTTGGTAACCGGGATAATTCTTGCTTTCAGAATAGTATCCTCCAAGGCTTAGCCGCTTTGAATACCTTCCCAGGCTACCTGACAAACTGCCTGAAGTATGCTGAGGCCGCCCCCAAAAACACAAACGGGGCTGTGACCCAGACACTTCAGGAACTGCTGGCCGACCTGAACAGCGCTTCGAACAACGGGCGAACACTCTGGACGCCAAACAAGCTCAGATTCATGAGCACATGGACGCAGCAGGATGCCCAAGAATATTATTCCAAAATTTTGGACGACATTGACAAAGGCGCGGCGAAAGCGCTCCAAGCTTCAAAGCCCCAACCAGGCCTAGAGACTCCACCCAACAAGGATGATACGGCCTCAAGCGAACATAGCGATGACAGCGGCTATCAAAGCCTATCAAGCTCAACAAAGTCATCAGACTCGATAGCTTTGCGAAACCCGTTGGAAGGTCTTCTCGCTCAGCGGGTTGCGTGTGTTCAGTGCGGCTACTCAGAGGGATTGTCGATGATCCCATTCAACTGCCTCACACTGAGTCTAGGGCTGGGTCGACGGGAGCATGACCTCTACGAGCGCTTAGATGCCTACAGTGACATAGAATCGATTGAAGGCGTCGAGTGTGCCAAGTGCACTTTACTCAAGGCTCAACGGCTGTTATCAAAACTCCTAGAGTCGTTGCGAGACAAGGGAGCACCAGAGGCGCAGCTCGCAGAACCTGTGCGGCGGCTACACGCCATTGACGAAGCACTTGAAGAGGATGATTTCGAGGAAAAGACCCTCACAGAGACATGCAAAATATCTCAGCGAGGAAAGGTGACAACTACCAAGACTAAGCAAGTTGTCATTGCCCGCCCGCCGCAAAGTCTAGCTATCCACATCAATCGCTCCGTCTTTGACCCTTCAACTTTCAATACGATTAAGAACTCGGCTCCTGTCAAATTTCCAACCACTCTGGATATTGGACCTTGGTGTCTTGGCAGCGCTGACAATGACGAGGAATCCAACGATTCACAATGCGCAAACTCGGACAGTGGTCATGGCGATGAACAGTGGCAAATTGGTCCAACAGCATCAATGGTTGCTGGCGATCTCAAACATTCCAAGTTGTCCGGGCCCATATATGAGCTGAGAGCAGTTGTAACACATGCTGGAAGACATGAGAATGGACATTACATCTGCTATCGCAAATATCCTCGGATATCGCCGCCATTGAGTCCCGTCATGAACGAGAAACAAGCAGATGGCGATGTGGAAGACCACATGGATAGCAACAGCCCTACGAACGCGAATATTGACGCTGACCCCGTTCATGATGCGAGCCAAATGGATTGGTGGAGACTAAGCGATCATAATGTGTCCAAGGTCGATGAAGACGTGGTCTCAAACTTATCGTCAGGGGTATTCATGCTATTCTACGACTGCATTGACCCAAGCATGATTCTGTCATCAGATTCCGACACAATGTCAACCAAATCCTCAGAAGATGATGATGGTGGGGCAATAACTCCAACAGATGATTCAGGGGTAGCGGTCGAGGAGGAGCCAGACCCAATTCCAGCCTTGGCGTCATCCGTGCCTCTGCCGGCCGAAGCCCAGGACCCAGTGAAGGAATCTTGAAATATTAGAATGGGGACTGAGAAATCTGGCTTGGTTCGTATTGTTATCATGTACAATCTTCTTTGTTTGCTACAATAGCGACAGCAACAACTCAGTTCTGGGCATACATAGCGACGGTGTTGGGGTCTGATCTTTTTTTTTCTCTCAGTAATAAGCCGGCCCAGGAGTTCGGGTGGTGCAGTGTTCAGTGGGTACGATCAAATAGTTGGGTCGATAATGTTGACCACATTGTATAAAGCAACTCCACGGGCAGAATGATTGGAGGATGAGTCCCTCCGGGGCGTCCGGCGCAGATAGGGCGGCGATCTCTCATCAAAATCGGGATCGCGACTTTCTAGCCCCTTTTAATCAGGGTCCATCGTGGATGCCCAGCTTCATATCGCAAATATCCCAGACGGCGCTCTTTTTTCGCTTACCTCAATTGAGGACCTTAGCTGAATATATACCTGTAACCTGGCTATCGTTGTGCAACGCTGATGAGGATAGAGGCTGGGCCTTTTGTCCAATAGCATGCTGCCTTACATGATGAATCCCTGCCAGCCCTTTACTAACAACAATGGGCCTGGGAGACGTACCCTCGACCACAAGGCGCGCTGTCAGGGTACTTTGGGTGTGATCTGACAAGTTACCGCTTGAAATAGTATCATCGCATCCTCCCAGGACGCTACCCAGTAATACATTCCTGCATAGTACCGGTACATAGCCCACCTACGAGCCAAGAGCAAGCAACACAGGGTCAGGACCTTGCGATTGGCCAGCCATCCCAGCACGGAACCAATGTGGGAGACCGCCAAGGGGCAAACCCGTACTCGCTGAGTTGCGCCTGTGGCTGCCTGTCTGTGGTTCGTGTAGACCAGGCCGCCGCTCCATTCCCCGTTACGAGAAAAATGATCGCACAGGCTACGTCTGACACTGAATGACACACGACGCGTCATGAACAGGAGGCGGGCATGTCGCTTCAGGAGGTTGCATGCTGCTAGGTTCCCAATGATGTCTAGATAGCGCGCTTCACATGCGTGGTTCTGGCAGATGGCGCCGGACCTGACAGGCACGGAGATGGAGCGAAAAGGAGGGCGAGAGACGCAGCTAGCACACGTTAGTTAGGGGAAATATATATCTCTGCAGGCTCCACGCGGTGCCAATGAACTGTCGGCATCGCGTGCCATCCAGCTGCTGAACTATTGGGCAAACTAGTAACACCTGTAAGGTAGCCCGTACTTGTACCTGTACGTGATATTACCATGCAGGTAGCGTGCAGACTGGGAGGAAAGGTGGCATGGATGCTATCATAAGGCGGACTCCTTGGCGAGGAATGGGATCCGATTATGGAGCGGAAGAGGGGGCAATCGCCAGGCCGCACAGCTAATCAGCAGTGCTCGATCGTATCCGAAGATGGGAGCGCTGGGCGGGATTGGGCTGCTGGGCGCTGGGCTGGGGATCAACGGGACTCAGCGCCATTTGTGGCCAGTGGGGGCTGATGGTCACCTCAGTGGAGGGACTGGACAGGGCAGGGCACGACTCGGGCGTAGTGCAGGGCCCGTGGGCGGCGCATGTACCTGTACCTGGCGTCTAGCCCAGGGACCGCATTCAGCCCGCTTCTGACACCCGCTCGAAATTAGGTTTCAGAGGGGGAGGCCTCGTGAAAGGGCCCCAAAGTACACTTGCAATCCAGATTAACACCTTCTATCAGGCCAGCCCAGGCCAGGCCGGCCCAGAGTCCACCAACCCAAAAGGCCATCGCATTTTTGCCGGTGGCTTGCTTACTATTCTTACCTTAGCAATTTGCAGCCTCTCTTTGCGGAAGCTAAGACCCCTTGCTTCCTCTTCTTAAGTTTCCCGCTACCCCTTTCACGGTGGCTTTTTTTTTCCGCTGCGATCTGGATTTCCTCTCCCCTCGACCGTCTCCTCTGCACCAATCTCACGGGGAGTGAACTCTGACACCTTGACTCAGTTCCTTCACCGTTGTTCACTCCTTTCTTCCTTCGTTTTTCTTTCTCGTTTCTATCATTACCTGCCGCCAGCCAAGGCCTCTAGCTGTTACTGCTTGTGGTGATTTGGGCCGAGGAAACCCAGTAGCGAGCCAGCGACCGACCAACACACGTTTTCCCGGGACCAACAAGCCCAGTACTCGAATTGATACCACCACCCGTCATTTCGCAAACTTGCTCCTGTTCTGGTCCTGCAAAACAACTTCCATCACTGGCCAACATGTCGCCTCATTCGCGGGCGTCATCAAACGGCTCCGACCTGCCCATGGTCGAGACGGCGCAGCGAGCTCGCGCAGAGTCGCTCATTGCTGAGGAGGAGAGTTTGAAGCACAAGGAGGCGCAGAGCAGCACGCTGTCGCTGCATCCTGCCTTTTACATCCTGTGAGCCGCGTTCTCTCAAATTCAAGACGTACGGAATCTCGAATTAGTCTTCTAACCAATCTCGGACGCGCAGGAGCTGGATTTTCTTCTCGAACTTCACGATTCTCTTCAACAAGTGGCTAATTGACAATGCCGGATTTCGTAAGTAGACCCTGGATTTTGCGGACGCCACCTTACCCACTCGAATTCCAGTGTGGTTCTGAATGCAAAACATGTTTGCTAACTTTACTCTCCAGCTTATCGTATGTATCTCTTATCTCTTGGTGTAAATCGCTGGAAACTCGAAAATGAACTCGACGTTTGCCCGGGATGTTTTGACCATTTTTACTGACAAGGCATAATCGTACAGCCATCATCCTGACCTGCTGGCATCTGGCTTTCGCTACCGCTGCCACTCAACTGCTCGCTCGTACTACCAAGTTGCTCGACAGCCGCAAGAGCCTCCCCATCAATGGCCGATTCTTCGTTCGAACCATCATCCCCATCGGATTCCTCTACTCGGGATCCCTCGTCTGCTCCAATGTGGTCTACCTATATCTCTCCGTCTCCTTCATCCAGATGCTCAAGTCGGCCTCGCCCGTCGTCGTTCTCTTCTTCTCATGGCTCTGGGGAATGGCCGACCCCACCATGACCCAGCTCTTCAACATCCTGCTCATCGTTTTCGGTGTAGGATTGGCGAGCTACGGAGAGGTTGGTTTCTCATGGGTTGGATTCATGTTCCAGTGCGGTGGAATCGTTTTCGAGGCTATGCGACTCGTCCTCATCCAGATCATGCTGAGCTCCGAGGGTCTGAAGATGGACCCACTCGTCTCTCTCTACTATTACGCTCCCGTCTGCGCCATCATGAACTTCATTGTCGCTCTGGCCAGCGAGATTCCCAAGTTCCAGATCCAGCATGCCTGGGACGCAGGCCTGCTTATGCTACTCCTGAACGCCCTGGTTGCTTTCATGCTCAACGTTGCCAGTGTTTGCTTGGTAAGTTTGCTCCACGAGCCCCTGCAGGTCTTCTCGGCTTCGATACTAACTGATCCCCCAGATTGGCAAAACCTCGGGTCTGGTCATGACTCTCACCGGTATCTTCAAGAGCATTCTCCTGGTCATCGTGTCCGTCATCATCTGGCAAACTCAGGTCACTCTCCTCCAGGGCTTCGGCTACAGTATCGCCCTGTTCGGTCTCTGCTGGTACTCCCTGGGCAAGGAGCAGCTCCAGCAGTGCTACCAGCTCATCACCTCGACCTCCCTCGGAAAGTCCGCCATGGCGCCCGAGCGCCGGAGGTGGATCATCCTCTTCGGCGTCCTCTGCTTCATCAGCATCATCACGGCCGTCGGAATCTGGAGGGGCCCCTCGGCCGTCAAGAAGGCCACCGACATGTTTCCTTCCTTGTTTGGTTCTGAGTAATGGGATAGGTCAGCACGGCGTTGGATTGGCGTGTACACACCTTCTAAGAATTATAGACATTGGGGCCCTTGGAACTCCCTTTACTTTTTTCACACGGAATTATTTGATTATTTGGCAGCCGAGATGCTGTCGTCATGATATCCAAGACAGTTGTACGAAATCATCTGATTATTTTTTCAACATTTCTCACATAAAATCATTCCATTTCGGTGTAATTTCCCCATGATTAGTTTTCCCACCACAATAGTTTAATAGATGAGCCACTCTTCAAAACAAGGCACCCAAACGACCTGATTTCCACTCATGATTTTCATGTAATCCAGACAATCCAATTAGCGCCGGCTCCTGCTTCGGCGACGGCTTGGTGTGCGCCGCCGGCTGCGAGATCTCTGCCGCCTCTCTGGCCGAGGCGACAGGCTTCTCTCTCGACGAGCCCGACGATCGCGCTCTTTGTCTCTGTCGCGATCTCGTTCCCTGTCCCTGTCCCTGTCCCGATCCCTATCCCTATCTCGCTCTCTCTCCCTGTCCCGATCCCTGTCCCTCTCGCGGGCTCGTTGATCACGCTCACGCTCCCTGTCGCGGTCTCTATCACGTTGATCTCGATCTCGATCCCGCTCACGATCCCGGTCTCTGGGGTCCCGATCACGGTTACGGCTGCGGCTCCGTGTGCGGCTCCTACGACGCTCTCTGTCCGACCGTCCACCAGGGACATATCTATCAGGGTCGACGCGAAGCCGGTCGCCGGCCGAGGGATCGTCGCGGCCGAGCTTGTCGCCCATGATGCCCGGGAATGGAATTCCTTTCTCGCGTGCGTCCTTCTGTGCAGCCAAGTAGGCCTTAGCTTCTTTTTCGCGCTTCTTGACTTCCTCGAGTTTCCATTCCTCCAGGTCTTGGTTGTCGCGAGCTGTACGCAGGCGGGGGACTGCTGAGGTAGGGCGTGATGAGGAGCGTTCGCGCTTGTCACGCTCGCGTTCATGTTCCTTGTCTCTTTCCCGTTCTCTGTCTCTGTCCCTTTCTCTATCGCGGTCACGATCTCGGTCTCGTTCACGATCCCTATCTCTGTCTCTGTCTCTATCCCGGTCTCTGTCCCGACCGCGGTCACGGTCACGGTCTCGCTCACGATCACGATCTCGCTCGCGGTCACGGTCTCGGTCATGGTCACGATCTCTTTCACGAGTGCGGTCCTGTTCGCGATCTCGTTCTCGGGCCTCGTCTCTGTCTCGGCCACGGCTTTCCCGTGGCCTATCCGCATCAGCTGGACGGTCTCGGTGTCGCTCACGCTCACGGTCCCGCGGATCATAATGGTCGGCCTGGGCTCCAGGCTGACTTGGCTCGCGTCTCGTTCTTGATCGTGTTCTCTCTCTTCTGGGTCGCGAACGAGAGCGAACACGTCTGGGTTGTTCCCGGTCTCGTCCTCGACTGCGGTCACGATTGGTCTCCCGAGCATCTCTAGTTCTCGAGTGGGACTTCTCACGCCGGTCAGGTCGTGTATGAGAAGCACTGGTACCTGGTCGTTCAACCTTACTCCGGGATGAAGCTCGCTCGATTCGATCATCAGGCCTCTCGTCTCTTCTTGTCCGGGATCGAGACCTGTATCGTCGAGCCAATGAACGGCTCCGTTCACGCCTGTCTCGGACTCTGGAACGGCTTCGCTCCCGTCTGGGCGAGCGTGAGCGGCTTCCATGTCTCTCCCGTGCTCGGCTTCTCTCTCTGGGCTTCTCACGGGCACCATCACGATCTCGAGTCCGGGACGCACTACGCCCGGACCTTCGTGTACGCGACTCGGCCGTACGTGCTTCTCCAGATGGCTTCTGGTCCTTTCCCTCGGCCTTCAAGCCACTATCGCTGGCTTTACGAGAAGAGGAATGCATAGGCGAGTCTCTCCGTATGGGATTGATTGCGGAAGCCGGACCGGTCCTCCTTGGTGGTGGTGCCAGGGCGGCATCAACTTCAAGCTCATGTTGCTTGCGAGCTGCCCGGCTACTCTCTCGGAGAAGATCTGCAAGTGCTTCCTCCTCAAGCCGCTCATTTTCTTCCTTTGAAAGCTTCTCTTTGAATTCCTTCGAGACCTCCTCCTTTTCTTTGAATCGGCTGCTTCTTTCGCGGTCCCGGTCTCCATCACCCTGGCGATCTCTGTCTCGTGTGCGGTCATCTCGTCTATCGCGGTCGCGGTCTCGGTCTCGGTCCCGCTGTCGCTCAATTTCTCGCTCTTTTTCTCTCTGCTCTCGCTCCATTTCACGCTTGCGTCGACGTTCGTCTCGTTCTTTTTGGCGTTGCACTTCAGCCTCTTCGCGTTCCTTTTCGATCTTCTTGCGTTCTTCCGCTGCGATTCGTCTCTTCTCCTCCTCGATCTCTTGCTCCTTTCGTCGAAGCTCGTCTCGAATTTTCTGCCTCTCTTCCTTTCTCGCATTCGTGTCGGCGAGGTACTCGTCATCTGTCTTGGCGCCACGCACTCGCTCGTCCTCGGCAGCCTCGTCACCTATCTGGGCGCGACGCGACCCTCGAATGCTCTCCTCGATTTTTCCAACGTCGATCAACTGTCCAAGAATACCCTCGGCTGTGTTGTAGATGCCTTTTCGCTCCAAAGCACCATCAATCAGTGCTGCACCTTTTCGCCGGTCCAAGGTGAGGAGCTGCTGAGGATTCCGCTCGACTTCCTGCTCGGCGACTTCGAGAATAGACTTGGTGATTTGCTTTTCGTAGTCCTAGAAACATGAGTTAGAATCAAAAGAAAGATGGCCATCCTGCGTAGTGGAAATCGGGGCTTTAAACTTACGCTGGCTTGGAAAGCCTCCCATGCCTGCCGTCGGATGGTGTCGTAGTCACCTTCTCTCTTGAAGGTATGGGACAAAACTCCAATTGCGCTGCGAGTCGCCGAAGGCAGGGGCAACTCCGAGGCCTTGAACTTCCGCGACCCATTTACTTCATTTTGCGTTCCATTTGAAGCAGGTACATCACCGTTGACAGTCGCCATCGTGAAGGCGATGGCAAAGTGTCAGTGAGATCAGCTCGAGGGCCCAAAGGAGATGGGCCGTGCGAATATGTTGGGTTGCCCTAGGATGACATGAATAACCGTCAAGTCATCTTTTAAGGGACATGACAGTACTTGGGCTGATTGCAGGTGGATGATGGCACCTGGGATTGGTCCAACTGTTCGGGAGATGGCACAAACAAATTCAGGAAAGATAATTGGGCGATTAGTCGAGGTACGCCGCGTAAAACGCCAATTCACGTGATCACAATACTAAGAAACAGAGTGTGTGGGATGAGATGGACATCACCCCTTGAAAAAGTTGGGATAGAGAAGGAAATTAAATTAGATTCCAGAGGGGAGAAAACTCTGCAATGGCGTACAGAAATTGTTTGTCATTGCCTCCCCGAGCATTATGCTGTGGTACAATGCTGCTACAAAACGAGCATCCGTAATTTAGCACTTTGCTGCAAGCCCAAATCTTAGGTGGATACCTAAATCAGGTGGGAATTCAGCATCCATTAAAGGTTCGCACTTCGCAATCTGTAAAAACCTGTGTTGGGATATTAATAATTAAGAGAGTAGTAAAAGTTCCAATATCGTAGCAGTTGATTCATCACTCTGTGAAATCATGGGAATATCATAGCAAACAATCCGACACAATATATACTATCCAAATATAAGGCATGGACTGAGGTGCTATTGTTGACAAGGTGTCGAGAAGCATCAGGAGAAATAGAACAACCACCAAACTGTCTAGGATCATAATGTCAAGGATATCATACTGTCCTAATCATAAGGTCGTAGGGGAGAGATCCCAAACCGTAACGCCATGCCAAGCAATGCACTATTTCCAACGAAAATGATACAAGCAACAGAAGCCCGTCTCTTTTAAAACTCACCGTCTCCTCCATTTCCGAACACGCTGGCGGTCCACAGACCAACCAATCCCCACCAGTTCACTTTCCATCCTCTCCAAAGCCCTTCAACTCCCTGGCCCTTTTGATATGCAGGAATTGCTGACTTATTTTTTGCCCTGTTTCTCCTCGCAGGGGGAGCTTTGGCAACAACCTCTCTCTGGCCTTCCTCCCGAGCGATATGGTACATGGTGCCAAACACGCCGTCATACTTGCCGACGGGCACGATCGTATCAAGCTTCTGGTCCTTGGGGGAGAGAGCTTGCACGTACTCGCCGCTTGAAAGAACAGCCATGTGACCCCTGCGCAAGGAAGTCTCGAGTGGCAGCTTCACAAAAATGGCGGCGGATGAAGCGCAGAACTTCACGAAAGAAAACGTTGTTGGTGATGCTTGGCTGTCAATCATGAAGCGAGTCCGCAATACAAGGGGTGTTGACAGGGTAAGAATAGGGTGGATGAGCGAATGGAGCATAGTGGGGAGCAGCACCAGAGAATTGCAGAAATAAGAGGGGAGAGCTCGAAGGGTAGCCAGCGTCCGGCGCTGTCCACGGGAACTCGGTGTCATAACGAGTCTGCATCAAAAGTTAGTTCTGCAAAATAGTCGGACTTGTCAATACTGATAAACGAACCTTGTGCGCACCAAGTCGAGGGGCGCAAGAAGCACACCTGTTGCTACAGCTGCCGTTGCGGCGACGAAGAGGGACGCCCATGGGTATGGTGATGCAATATCCACAAGGCGGTCAATGTCCTCTTTGACGCCCAAATCCGGTACATTGAAAATCGCGCTCAGAAAACTTCTTGACCAGTTTTCCAGGACGGACTGCAGAACCGTATACAGGAAAGTCGCATTGGTGCCCTTCCACACACCCCAGATCCCCTCCTTCTGCCAAAGCGCAGAACAAACGCCCATGAGAGAGTCTGGGCGGCGGATATCCAGATAATTCTCGGCAATAGTTGGTGTCTTCAGTGTCTGACTTTTGGCTGGTGAAACAGACCTATTGCGTTGCCGGCTCTTCGGATGGAGCGGGGTTGGGGTTTCAGGCATGTTGGATGTGAAGAATGATTGTTCGTCACCTTCAGAATCAGATTCCACCATCTGGAAATATATTAGCAAACAAGTAAAGAGGGACAGAGAACTCCACGTAGGTTCCATCTCGGCACACTTACATCGTAAATAGATCCTCCATGCGAAGACGTCCTCTTTTTAAGTATTTCGGTCCCTGTCGGTGAGGTAAGGGCTGCCTTCTCATCCTGGTCTCTGACCTGCAGAATTATTTTGGCGACCTCGAAAGGTTGCGCCATGAGGATCGACGAGTACTTCCATATCAGCTCGTCGATGAAATCCTTCACATTCTGCACCACCGTAGGCGAGGTGTCGCCGAGATAGTCATTGTAATCGATGTCCGTCAACACATCGCGGGCCTTTGACGCATAGTTCAGGCTTTTAGTCGCATTGCTAGTGCCGAATGGATTTGGACCTGGTGAGGAGATGACTTCGGATCGTTCCCCAATGGTCGGCGGTATATAATACGGCCTCAAGGGGTTGACTCCTTCTCTCGAGGTCGACATCCTGGGTCGGGGGGTCTTGAAGCATTTGCTCAAGAACAGAAAAGCTGCGAGGTTGGCCGCACATCCGCCGTAATGATGAAATTGAAATCATGCGTGAACGACTGGCTCGGAGTTACCACGGTGGGCCACGGCCAATGGATTTGCCGGGCGATAACTCGCCTTATCGGAGCTACTGGGGTTAGGTCGTCGGCGGTATTGATTTGGAATGGACGTTTTTCCAAAGGCTGGTTTGTTGCGCCCATCGGACTAGCCCAAAATCTCCTCGACTCCTCCACGGACAATAATGTGTTAGGAGGATACTATTGCGATCGTGGTGTCAAGCATCTGGGTTTCGACATTGCAGGTTTCCGGGCTTGCGTTAATTGGCGAATTGGGCTGCCTCCCTCCCGCACCCCTCCATCCTCGATAAAATCTACCCCAGCGAGATCCGAGCGAGATGGCTAGCTCACGATCGGTCACAAAGTGCCTCCCAAGGCTATCTTCGACGATATACCGTCAGTCTCGACACCTGCCCTCACACGCAAGAGCTCCGAGCAATCTTCTTCGCCCCTCCTCTCTATTTTCTCTGCCCAGTAGAAGTATCTCGCGCCTACAAACCTCAACCCTATATACCCGATCCTTCACAACCACTGCGCAGAGGCAGCATGGTCATATCCATCCTCCGAAGCCGGGCGAGGAGTTCGTCTACCTTTTTTATAGAATTTTTTTGGAACTTGCAAACTAATCATTTCCAAGGCTCTATGTGACGTTCATCGACAAGGATGGTCAAGACTACAAATTTGCCGTCTCCGAGGGCGATAACCTGCTTGACATTGCGCAAGCCAACGACTTAGAAATGGAGGGCGCTTGCGGAGGGTCATGCGCATGCTCTACGTGCCACGTCATTGTCACCGATGACGGATATTACGATAAGATTCCCGAACCGGAAGATGATGAGAATGATATGCTGGATCTGGCTTTCGGCTTGACGGAAACCAGCCGCCTTGGCTGTCAAGTGGTGATGAAGAAGGAACTGGACGGCTTGGTTGTTCGCTTGCCTTCCATGACACGAAATCTGCAGGCCAGCGACTTCAGTTAAATATCTGGATATATATGGACGGCTGTATACAATCTTGTGAAATTATCATGACTCAACTCGGATATGTACAATAGTAACAAATAGATGGCAAAAGGCGCTATTGGCGACATGTGACAACTCGGGGTATCTTTCGTCAGGACTCATGCCGAAGCCCTGAATATCCTATTCGGAAAATATTAAATTTACACTAAGCTTCCTCCAAGGCAGTCTTCTTCAACCCCCCGCCTCCCGAAGCTATCAGGTCCAGGAATCCCTTTTTGCTCAGCTCGTTGACCTTTTCCTCTCTTTGATTCATGCCGATAACACCTTCCTTCTTCACTCCCTTGTCTGCCTCCACGGCAGCGACCTGGGCCGCTCGGACGGCGTTGAAAAGTTTGACAACACCTCTCTGGGCCACCTTGCGTAGTCTCCTCTCTGTCTCCATAATCTCGGATGTGGTTGTCTCGAATTCTCCGGTGGTCTCGTTTTTTGTAGCAACAAGAACGTCCTTCACACGACCCTTCTCGAGGGCCTTCCTCTTCTGATCGCGCATCTGTTTCCGAGCTTTCGCTTCTAATGCGCTGTCCAGGACGGCTTTGGAGGCTTCGACAGCATCTGTGCTACGAGCCAGAACGGGGTCTGATCGCTTTGTCGTTGACAGCTTCGTAGACAGGATCTTGGACAGCGACGTCGCAAATGCGGTTGGGTCATTCCTCTTGGATTTGGACTTTTTCTCCAGATTGTCATCTCCCTCAATCTCGTACTCATCGTCCTCGTCACCAATTTCGGATGACTCTTCTTCGTCATCTTCTTCTTCTTCCTCGTCCTCGTCGCTGGACGGCGCATCCTTCGCCTTCTTGGCTGGTGGCTTCTGGATTTTTTTGGTGTTCAATGCCTTTTTTTTCCTCGTCGCAGGCTGCTCATCTTCGGAGCTAGATGCATCCTCCTCTGCATCCCCAACATCGTCCACCTTTGCATTGTGAATGTCGTCGTCTGAATCCAGTAGGTTCACAGGATCAAAGTCTCCAGTAGCTTCATCTTCTGAATCGCTGTGATATCGTTGCTTTCTTTTCTGTTTCTTAAAAGGGCGCTGTGCTCGGCCATCAATTGACCGTTTTTTATTATAAGGTCCTGCCATGGTGGGCAGAGTTGTGGTTTTTAAAGATGGTCGCACTGACTGAACTGGTCGCGAAAAGTTGTTGTAGATAAGAAAATATTTGGAATTTTGCCGCCGAAATTTCCTGCATGGAGGGGCCGATAGGAAGGCGGTGTCGCGCAGCCGGCTACCCTAGACCTCCATCCCCGGCCTTGATGGAACCTAGGTTCTATGCAAATTTGGCTATTGATTTATCTTTAGTTGTTTATACGCGTGAGAATATAAACAGAATTTTGATCAATTTCATAATACATAATTTAATCTATCGAGTTGATGAGGGTGGGTGGATGAAGAAGACGATCAG